AAAACCAGTTGTGCAGAAACATCGAAACTCGGATGACCAACAGGCCCTACAGCTGACCAGGACTGTGACACTTTGCGGATAAGCACTGTGACATCATAACTACACTATATATACATTAGACAATTAGACATCGATCATATTCTTGAGAATACATGAGATTCGCACAAATGCTTGCAGCGCTGCTCCCTTGCACTCAGCAAATCAGCAGGTGAACAAAGAAACAATCAATATCGTCGACATGTCGGACATCATCATCTGTTCTGTTTCAGATTGTGCTTCATATGATTTCATGTGGAAAAGCTCTGCGTATGTTTGACTGCGAAGTTGCTTTTATTGTTTGTGATTGATTGTCGCTTTTGTCATAGACAGTCGAAGAAATCTGTTCCAAAGGGGGTTGTGTTTGGATCATAGGAGGGGATTTTGAGCAGTCCAAATCCCCATTGGTGTTCATACTGTGTGCTTGCATGCGTCATCATGTTCAAGATTTTTCCGTGGTCCCCTGTCACATCTATGAGCAGAAAGCTTCAAGAATCACTGAACTGCTTCTGTGATTACAAGCACCAGGCAGCTAGTTCACACAGCATGCTACACATGCTTACAAAGAGTGGGATGTTCTGCATGTCAAATATATCCATGGTGATTGATGGGATCATCCTCATTTCATAGACAAATGATCCCCATGTCGCAACAGTCACCAGGGATTCAAACACTATCCAAGTAGTCAAGGAGTTGGTCCATGAACAAAAGTCTAATCCTGAGGCTGGACCCTTGAACATCACGGTTGTTGAGAAATGCATGTACCTGTAGAGCCCAGAGTTACATGAAACTGAAGTGACAAAGCACTGATAAACACCTGATAAACCATGTTCAATACATTCTTGAAGAGAGTGGAATCCACATGGCAAAGCTGCATATGAAGCATTTACAGTGATAATCCCAAGAGAAAGTCCTAGTTTAGGATTGAACGACGTAATGCTAGTCAGGAATCAAAACACCATCGAATAAAACTCCATGAGTTGTAGCTCATGAAGTGCCTTGATTTCCTCAACAAAGGCCTACCTTCAGGATTTTGCAGCTCTACCTTCAGGTGGCTGAAGAGAAGGCTTTTCACCTCAGGATTTCCTCTGTGTCTCTTTACTCTTTGAGACTCCAAACCGAACCCCTGGGCACCAATCTTCTGAGACGACCGAAGGACTGGACTTTCTGGTTTTGCTTGGAGGACAGTCAAGCAGGGGCATTCAGGGGCAGGTGGTCAATAATGTTTGAGTTCCATCGCAATTGGATTCAACAGGTGGAAATGCAATGATGTCATGTTCAGCAGCACAAAACTGTGACCTCGTGCTTTTTACTGCTCAAATTCAAACTGCATTCCAGAGCCTACCTCTGAAGTTATCGCTGTGATGAGGGGAGATCTTCGCATTGTGCGAAGCCCGAAAAAAGGGCGCCATGCGAACTTTGCGCCAAGCGCGACGCCCAAGGAGTAAACATCACTCCTGAGGGGCTCATATCTGTTGCTAGTCCCTCCTTCCTGTATGAAGCCAACCGCCGCAGCAATCCAAATGAAACCATTGTTTATGTTCTGATTGAAGCTAGTCAATGGGAACACTATGCCATTGACCAGTCCTTGAAGGTGATTTCCTAAAAAAGGAGTATTCTAGGGTCCTTGGCAAGTAATCATTATAGTCGTGCTCGAACACTGCTGCGATGAGAGGCAAAAAAGGGGAAACGGGACTAGCTAGTCTGTCTACTGTATTCTTACCTACTCTCAGGGTCTCGTGGTCTGACAGCACTTGAAAAGAACAACAGCTCCATCACCTACATAGCGATGGCCTCCAACCTAATAGCATCAAGGCAACTTGGTTGAGGTCTTGTGGTGTGTTTGCATCACATGACCCTGTGGACTGTGCATGCAAGCTTGTGCAAGCGCTTCCTGCTACGCTGTGATCCTCCTATGCCACCCCGTGGCTCGGAGCTCAGATATGGCCTGGATGACGAGGGATGCCGCGGCGTAGACCGAGGCTGAGCCAGGGCATGGACCAGCCGGAGGTGGTGTTGCGATTGGACGAAGAGAAGAAAAAGGAACACCGCGGCGATCCATATCCACACACCGTCCATTTCTAGGTGTTAAGATTCTAAAGCAGGGGCGATGTTGGTTCCAAAACCTATATCCTCAATAAAAACCATGCCGCACCATTTGTATCAGGTTATATAAGTGTGGGGAGGTCTGTTGCTACTGGCATTTGCACCCCGAGGAGAGTGAACTCCTCTGAGAGAAGCCCAAAGCTGGAGGAAAATCCTTTTCCAAAACATCCAGAGATGGGGTATTATGAGAGGGTATGTTCTTTGTATATTATATATGAATGTAGTGAAATGTGAACAAGTCTCGATCCATCGCGCCGCAAGTCTATCCTGCGGCCTGCGACCACCGCGCAACGCATGCGTGGCAAGCCCAAGGGCGGCAATGCACGCCAGCCAAGTCCCTCTGAGTAGCACTCGACCTTTGCTTGTGCCTCAGCACGCTGGCGGAGACCTGAGACCTTTCGGACAGCAAAAGTGCTGTATAATGGGTGTTTGAGCTGCATCTTTATATATTCCCCCGGTTTCAGGAGACCTTGAGACGTCAACATATCCAACGTTCGAACCTTGTGAAGAATCTGGATGTAGATCAACAATAGACCTAACCCCCTGGGGGCCACAAGGTCAATTGGACATCCTTAGCTGTTCACAGCGCCGCGGAACATCCGCGGTTCCAGCGCGCACACCGCCGAACAGCGCCTCCGATGTGATGCCCTTGCCACCCACCAGGACCACGCCTTCCTGGCGGCGACACCGCCCCAGAACGGGACTCACCGGAACGGGACGAGGATGGACGGATTGGGACTTGACCCGTTACGTCGCCGTGAAGGTTCATATGATTCAGGAGGTATGAACATGTATGAACTATAGATCCAACAAGACCGTGTTCTTTTTCGACTTCGCTGGCTCGGTGGGTCTTGTCACTGTGGCGGCCGCGTTGAACGGCTTCGGACTCAGGTCCACCGTGAAAGCGCCGTTGAAAGCCGGGGGATAAACCCGGGTGCCCCTGTTGGTACGACCTGCCCTCTTCGGGCTGAAAAAAGAGTCCAACAGTTGGGTCTTCTAATCTTACAATGGAGAGTGGACTGGTGTGTAAATGTCTGGATGTCCGTCCTCATATGAGTGTTCTTTAAGTCAAAAACGGCTTTTTTCATGGTCCATATACCCGTACTACGGACAAAGTCGATGGATGCAGGAAAACATCGGACACAAAACCCATGGAAAGCCACACAACAAAACAGCCTGAACATGCATGGAAGCCTTGCAGCAACAAGCAACAGCCAAAATGGATGATCTGCAGGCGGCACGTCCTCTTGGTCCAGTTGTACAATGTACAAGTGCATGTCACCTCCCAGTGTTGAAAGGCCTACAGGAGTTAACATCAAAAACTCATTGGGCCAAAACATCGACAAAGTATACTTAGTACCCAAAGCTGGACCACCTGGGCCAATTGAGGTGTTTTCTGTCAGCCGCTACCAGTTATATATATATATATATGAATGTCTTTCCTCCAATTCTCATCCTCGTGCTGGGTCAAACCCACCCCGTGCACGACGACGCTTCGCGTTTGTTCCGGCCCTTTCTTCACCTGGAAGTTGCAGGCGGAGATCTGTTGCCGCGCCGTGAGCATCGGTGGCAATGGGCTCCAAGGCACCCGGGCGGACCTGGGTGACCGCGGTATCTCCGCGGCGACCGCGGATCGGAGGGAAGCGACCCTGGAGAGGCCCTGGAGAGGTGAAGTGATGGGAAATAGGACCTTACTGGTAGCTATATATGGGATAGTCTATAGACTAATGGGTACTATAGGTCCTTCAACCGCTGGTGGGTTGGCTTCTTGGCTGTTCCAAAGAAACTTGGGCTGGTTTTGGCTGCTGTTCAATAGAACGTTGGCTTGTCTGCGGTGTTTCAGCATTTATATATCATTGATCCTTTTGAAGAGACAGGGAACAGGAGGAAAGCAAATTGACAGGGGAAGTTGGTCACATGTTAGCCTGCGAACTTTGCTCCGGTCCACTGCAGGGGTGAGGTTTTTCACCTCCGAACCCAGTTGCCCAAAGGGCTGAACCCTTAGGGCTCCGGGCGATCCGGAATAGGCATGCTCCTGGGAAAAGGGAAGGGTCCGTGGTGAAAAGCATGGCTCTTTTGCTATAACCCACATTCCTCAGAAGTACTGACAGAATTGATCAGAATTGTGTGTTTCTGTTTTTGCCCAACTGTGATACTGGCTCTTCTGAGTTGCCGATACAACCACCTGACACCTGGCAAACCCATTGAAGGAAAGCAAAGCCACTCGATCGATTTCGATAGATGCCCTACAGTTCCCTGGCCTTTAACACTCACCTAAGACATGTCTTCTCCACAGTGACACACCCCAGTCGCGGTGCCCGTGCCCCGCCTCGAGGTGCTGGAGCGAGGCACGCTCCGCCAGGGTCAACGCTTGGCCACTCAAGCCCAAGCCTTGCGCGGACCCCACGGGGGGGGCCCCGTGGAACGCCAGGGCTCCAGGGCGAAAGCAGCTCGGCCATGCTGACCCGCCAACTCGACCAGCTCGAGTTGGTGAGCCATGAGTTGGTGTCTTTGTGCAAGTGTAGAGATTTGCTGAAAGAAGCTCTGACAGATTCATTGGTTGGAACCACAAGAGTCTTGTGTACACCCATGGCTTTTATGGGGTTTTGAGATTTAACATATTCTCAGAAGCTCCGCGGAAAACAAGTCTATCAATCCCTCAATACACCAGTATATATTTTCTATATTATAGATATAGTCATTATAGATTAAATTACAACTATATTATATAGTAATGATAGACCATATCATGAGACAATGAGACACCTCACTCTTGAAGATTGGGGATCAGCTTGAAACTGTGTCTCCCCCCCAAAAGAGGTCGTCTCCATGGAAATCCAATCCAAGTCCATCGTTCTTCAGCTCTCGCAGAAGGCTCCTCCGAAGCTGTAGACCTCATCGCCGGACGCCTGGCGTTCGGACGGCCGTGTCACGGCGCCGGATGTTCCGTGGAGTGTACAGAAACACGGGGGAAGTGTTACATGATCCTTACCATATATACAAGATTCAGTCTGATGTAGCCTGTCAGAGTGCACGGCGATAGAATGCTGCACCCGATGAAAACGACCGGCCACGCCTTCAAGATAGGCACGGAGCCACAAAGGGGCGATCGCAGGGAAGGCAACAAGTGCCAGGTGTTGGCCTGGTGAAGAACAGTTGTCTCTCTCTCTCTATATATATATATATATTATATTTTAGTTTAGATAATACACATCATATCATACTATATTATATATATATATGTTTATTACAGTTGTAATTGTAACACTGCTGTACATACTGTATACATAGCATTTGTGATCAAGCAAGAACCTAATTCGGAAAATAAGTGGTCAAAAGCTGGCCAATGATATGTGGTTATTCAAGGGGTCTTCTCCATCACCTTAAAATCTTTTGGTATTGGTATCTTTTGACTACGCGCCCATCACCAGGATCCCTTTACCGGTTCAGTCCTTCCACCCCGCCACCAGAGCCACTTGGGCAAGGCAAAAACTCACTGGGACAGTGAGGTGCAAAAGCCTACCTGGATGTCGTAGATTTCCAAGGACGCAGCAGCCCCCTCCTGCTGCGCGAGGGAAGAACACCAGGGCAACGTCAAAGGATTTGGGGTCGAAACCAAGCAAAGGTGAAACATATTTTCAGGGTGAGATGCTCTCCTACAAGTACAAATAGGCTACTGCTGGGAGGTTTTGTCCTCCCAGCCACAACATCCCAACCACAACACTCCCTGCCACTAGCATGTCACCCACACCTGGTCAAGGAGAATCATTTTTGCAACCCTCACGTAAGAGGCTACTCATGATTTGAGAGGGCTTGTAAATACCATGCTTTTGAGGACATCCCAGTGACATGCCTCATATTTTATTTCCGTGTTCTTCCCTCTAGTCATCACTGAGTTCCAAGTCTCTTCAGAACTTCAGAACGCACTCCCCGTCTTCCGCACTCTCCGTCTTCCGGCTCGGCTCCGTCTTCCGGCTCGGCTCCGTCTGCGCATGGCCTCGCTGAGCTCGCCGCTGAAGACGAGGATGCAATCCTCCCTGGCCATGGCTGAGGCTGCCTTGGTCAAAAGCAGTAGCAGACGACGCGCCAGTCTAGGACATATGAATGGAACCAAATGTCCGGACGCTGCACACTGAATCGCGAAGGGGGGTGCGACGGTGAAGGAATTCAACTTGATGAATCTGATACCAATGATCCCCTACGAAAGAAACCAACTGCACTGCATGCGCAAAGTTGATTATTTCCGGCGTATCAAAGATCAATGTGAGTTATTTTCTCCATCGACAAAACCCATCATTGAAACACCCTGTGGATCTTCAGGCGTCCGTCCTCAAATACCACACCTGTTTCTGATCCCATCACTGTAGACTCGACTGTTTGGTTCCAAAAAGTGATGCCCACTCCGACTCCCACCGATTCTGGGCATCGCCCCACGTATCTGGGCTTCTGCATGGAGGCCACGCTCTGCCAACGCCCTTCAAAGGGGTCATAGCGCTCCACCGAGCCTCAGGTAGGGCGAGCTGGTTGGGAGAGGAATTCATCAGAAGGCCATGAGGATTGCGATTGGAGCCATGTGTTGGAGACGATGTATGTGTTCAAAACTATGGATGTTTGGTTGTTCGGCTGAGCCGGTGCAAATGCATGCGTTGACCCAAACAAATCCTCATGACGAGTCGTTTGAGTTAAAACCGTTCAGCCAGCAAATCCAAGGATGAAGGAATTATGGAGGCTGAACACCCGCTGAACTGCAAAAATGTATCTCTCTCTTTCTAGACGAGTTGCATAAATCCAAATGCCAAAGCCGAGAAATTATTGCTTTGTTCAAAAACAAATCATTGTGTAATGATACAGTTTCAGCTAATTGGCTATGCATGCTATGCAATCCACCATGGCCATCCTTGCCGCTCTCACCAGCCGACCAAAATCCAAGGTCGTCATCCTCAATTAGGCTCCAAACGCAAGGCAGTGAAGCCATCGTTCCCACCCAAGACATACAGCAGCCCCTGCACGTGCTCGGGCGAAGCAACAAAGACTAAGTGAAAATGGCTATCTTTCATTGATATCAGAAGAGTCAGCGGTAGTGGGGACCCTGGCCAGGTGGCAAATTGTGTTGGCGGTGCAACCGTTTTGTTGGATTCCAAGGGGCATTCCAAGAGTATGAGTTTTATGAACAACGTGAACCTAAGACATGCAAGGTTGCTCCACTTCTCACGCGCTTCTTCTGAGGGGTGGGTCGAAGTCAACCACTGGCCTCAAGAGTTTACAGGTGTTGCTTTGTGGATACATTGGGCAGCATCAGACCGATGAATGTGAGCGTGAGCGGAGCAGGGTTCCTGTGAGGGACTCCTGCGAGAGATGGGCGATATCAGCCTGCCGTCACATTCACAAAATGCCAACACCTGCCAAATATCCGCAAAAAACTTGATAAATGGTCGAATTCTAGTCTGGTAGTTGACTGTCAAGTTTGTTTGCTCGAAAAGCGTCGCCCAGGATTTGGCCCCAGGTTCGACTCCCCTGTGGGTTCAACTCCTCCCTCACCCCTTGCTGCGCGGTATTGGGCGTGCCGCCTACACGGTGGGAATTGGCCGGGCTCTCGACACAGGTTGGGTCCCTCAAATGAAATAGAGATCAAACCAAGCATGGCAATCATAACCTCTCCCAAAGCACGAAAGGAGTCCCGCTTGACTCGCCAGGCCCCCCAGAACCGCAGAAGATTCCGTGCCTGACACTCGGTGGCCGCCGCCTCGACAAGAGAAAACCAATAAACACTATAATCACAACATATCACAACAACCCAATGTGAAAAAAACAGACACATTATTAAATATATCTTACAGTCAGCTTACATTGAAAAAACACATTTATGTTCAATCAGTTTACCTTAACAAAGAAAACAACAACAACCAAAGCAACGCAGATTGGATGAAACAACATCAATGGAACACATCAACAAAATGCCACAAAGACATTACAAACCAACTAAAAGCATCACATCTCACGTTGATGACGCCCCAAAAAAGCCAAGCAAAGGCGACCCACAAACCTTGCTTTCTCTTCTCACCGGGCGCCGATCGATCGGTCGCCGTCCGTCTTGGCACGCCTTGATGCGGCCCAAGGCCGTGGAGGGCATCGTCTCCCAGCGCCGTGCGCCGCTCCGCGGCGCGAAGCGCTGCACGTCGCGCAGGGCCACACCGTTGACCTCGCCACCGATCCTGGAGGGCGGAGAGGGATGGGGAGGGTGCTGAGCTGAGCAGGGTGTTTGTGCTTGTGCTGGTGATAGTAGAACTATGTAGAACTAGAAACACCATGGAGAAGGAGAGAGAAGGAGTGCTAGTGAACATGTACCATCTGTGCTTGATGCCATCAATTAGACTTCCAATTTGTGGCTGAGTATGGGATACATCCGACCAAAATGGTCATGCAAGAGAGACCAGTTCTGCAACCTGATTCAAGTCTGCAAGTCTGCAGTTCCTATGTTCCACACGAAGAAGGCACACGCCCACCGTCGATTGGATGTTCGAATCCCAAGGTAGGTGAGCCCCTTTTTTCAAAGGACACGCAAAGGGCGTCCTGGGATACCAACTGCCTGGCACCAGGTACTTTAGCGTTTCGTATTTCACTCTCTTCCTGATCAACGGGCCCCCGCACACGTACAGATATCCACCGAAGGCGGCGGCGCATGCCCCGTGGCGGGCCGTGCTGATGGGAGGCCTGGGAGGTCCGGGAGACGGCGCACAGGAGACGGTCGGCTCGGTCGAACTAAGACCAAGACCTTGGAGGTGGACCTGGAGGAAATACACTCCGACTCAGATTTGGCCCAGTGGTCCAGGAGGAAAATACACCCATGCTGCATACAAACGATTTTGAGCCGTGGCATGATTTTTGCATACTTCCAGGTCGTGTATGCCATACACGAAATCATCATGCAAGTATATATAGATGATATAGATGTCATGGCCACTGGAAAGACCAGTTTCTTCAACAGGCGGCGCCATCCACTTCCTTCCTGTGAGTCAAAGGGTATCCCAAAACATGACCCATGGGACTCTGACTCCCGATCAGTTGGAGAGGAGATTAGTTGGGGGAATCCTGTAACGTGGATCGATATGTATTGCCTGATGAGAACTTCCTGAGATTTGGGGGGTCCAGGTCAGTTTGAGTTTGTGACCCGAACAATACCATCAAGAAGATGTTACGTAACCCTTCTACAAGCAGAGTCTGTTCTTTCACGAAACCATGTTTCACCATCTCCTGCGCAGGGATTTTTTTCCCATCTCAAATGAGTAAGGGATCCTGCACTGGTTCTACATGACTTTCAAAACAGTGTGAAAAGACATCTTTTCCTTGCAGATATTTCCTTGCGTTCCTTGGTTGCATTACCAGCTGGGCGAGTTCATCAGTTCAGCAGTAAAGTGCTTGGTTGCTGCTGCTTGACAGCACTCTTTCGGGAAAAAAAACACGAAGCACCTGCAAAACACCTTGCAAATTCAAAGTGTCTATATAAATCAAAGTGGTTGAGTCAACGCAACAAAGAACGCTCCAAATGAAGGAGACGCTCGGACTGTTAATTCATTATACATTACATCATCTTTATGGTCTAGAAGTGGTCAATCCTTGAAACGCCCTTGTGAGTAAAGGTACAATAGTCAAAGTCCGAAATCTCAATAGTGTGTGTGGGGGGGTGCCGCTTTGACGGATTGTCTGTTCTGTCTACCATGTGCAGAAAGGTTCCAGATTCCAGATGTTCAAGTCTTCGAAAGGCTGTCAAGATGACAAAGGTCGCAGTTTGAGCATCAAAGATTGACCTTTGGGCAGCACAAGGGGCATACTTGGTGTCTCAAGCGGACAAGTTGAACGCCTTTTCACAGAATAAACTGGTGACTGGATTACAACTGCGACAAGCCCTATATAATATAGGCATAGCTTTAGAAGAACGCAGCAAATCTCCTGGCTTGTATCTTGGGGAGGCATGGGGAGACTCCAAACATCTACAAACACCCAAAAGAAACCTTTCTGTGGGAGAGACAACCGTCGACCCCCCCCGCAACCGGTTTAACCGTCGACCCTCACATCTCCTCGCGTCGACCTGTCACGCGTCACCTGCCGGACCCGAGGACCCTCGGAACGGGCCGTTCGAACGTCGGTCGCCGTCTCCGAGGCGCAAGGTCTCCCAGGTGCCCTCCAAGGGGTCGAAGCGCTCGACCAAGGCCAAAGGAGCGAAGCTGTTGTCCAAGCCTTTCAGAGCGGTTGGCAAGGAGGGGTTGGATACATCGGTACATCGGAGTACATCTGTATATATCCCATTTAAAGGGTCCAAACGGGCCGGAGGATAGTGGAGGTTTTGCAGGCCTGTACCCAACAAATGGTGTTTTCTTTGCCGACTGTTTGCCTGACAAGGGGACACACCCAAATATATATATATATACATATTATATATCTATATAACTATAACCGTATCATAATACATCATTGTTTGTTCTTGGGGAAAGGAGGGCCAGCGGTTTAGACCCGACGGACATCCGGGTCAATAGGATATCGCTGCTCCTAGCTCTCCCAGAGTGCCCAGCTAAAAGTTGAAAAGAGCACATACACGCACAAACTAGGACCAAGGACCTCCTATAGGCAGTATTGAATAATAGCCCCTTAGAGTTTAAGGGGTGTCCATTGACGGTGCTGTTGTACAATCTCCTGGGATTGGTATCTGACCCAGGCGTGGCAACGACCCCCCGAGGGTTCGCTTCGGGAAATCAACTGGTCGTCTACCCAGCCAGGGGGCTCCCGTCTCCATATCAGTATTTTACACACCCACACGGATCCACTTAGATTGGCAACTGTTGGGAAGGCTCCAATGGGAAGGCTGTGCTCGCGAATACCACTTGTTGGGACTCCAGAATGGAGTCTATGGAGGATGGAGACTGCTGGAGACTCACTTGGAGAGGAGTGAACTAATGGCACTCACATCATGGGGCAGGAGCCTGGGCGCTCCATGGTCCTGACAACTTGGCCCAGGTGCTGAAGGTCCTGATTTCAACTTGCTTGTGGAGCATTGTTTGCTCCATGAAACTCTTTCCTTTCTCCCTGCTCTTCAGATGGGAATGTATTTCGCTGGCGGCGAGCATTAGCGCATCCCAATAGGTGGCGCTGATCTAGCAGAATTCAGCACTTTCTGCCTGGTCGAACAAGATCGCGGTTTGTGTTTCCATGACATATTTCGTATCGTTTCATGTAATGTTTTTGGGGTTTCCTTTCTTGCTATGTGGGCACCTCGGTGTCTCATGCTTTTCTTGGTCCATATATCCGTTTTCGGCCACGGACGCCACGCTCCGCTCCTCACCTCCAATGACGTAAAGCCTCTCCCGTTGGAGCTCATGCAAAGCCTTGCCGATCGCCGTCCGCAGGGCCTGGCAAGTCGCTGTCGGGTTTAGGTGATGATCTAAGGCAAATGGTCACACACCTGCCCACAACCAGCTTTTGGAAACGGATCTGATCAATCAATCATCGACCCTGTCACCATCTGCGCCCAATGGCACGGCCTTGGAGCAGGTCGACAGCCGTCCAGCGGTCAAGGGCGCATCCGTCAAGGACGAGACCTCGACCAGTCGTCCCGGGACCGGTCGTCCGGGTGGCGGACTTCGCACCCGAGAAACCCCCGGACCGGTGGACTGTTTTTGTTGACCACCATGGAGGTCCACCTACCAACCTACCAGGGTTTGGGGCTGCAGGTTCTGACCCACAGCGATATTTTTGTTTGAAGTGGGGGACTGCCAAGGACTCCCAAGTAACAACTTGGGAGTCCTCATGTGTCCAGAGATTCTCCCCACTCCGGAGTCTTCCTCATGTGGCGCCAGTCACAAGAGTGCCCCACCCAGTCAACAGTCTATGACTGGTCGGTCACTCCATTGCAATCCGACCCATCGGTTGGGGTGTTGCTTCGGTCACGGATTGAAGCGGAAGCCCAAGGAGTACAACCCAAGCAGCACCAAGGAGCAACCTCCTATGATTGAGATGGAACAAAGAGATATAAAGATAGAATGGAAACTGCCAGGTTTGGTAGTGGAAGGAGTATAGGTGGGGAGCTGAAGTGAGCAGCCGGAAAGCCTCGAGCCCTTCTCCTCGTGCTTTTCCCCTATAGCCTATTGGGCCATCATTGTGCTGGCCTAGATTGGATGGCCAAATGGAGGCTTTGCCTTGCTGCACGTTCATGTGCAATGTGACATGCTTCTATGAAACAAGTCAGGCCAGTCAAAGTCCATGCTTGGGCCCGCAAACCGCCAACGCCAGGTTGAAAGCGAGAGCGGCATTGGCCTGCCGTCCAAGCGACTGACTGCTACTGTGGAATTTTAGATTTGAGGACGAGGCTGTGGTAAGGGATTCTGAAAGGACTACTTGATCAACCCGCCACAGGTAGACTGTGGCTCGTTGTGTGATTTTCGGTCCAAAACATGAACGAAATGAGTGTTTCCGTCGTCTTAAGGTCTGACCAAACTAATGTGTTTTCTGATTCATGCAACTGCCACAAATCTTCGCAAGTCCTTGGACGCCAGCACCGGCAGGGGCGTTCTTCCAACAGGTAATTGTCGTGTTCTCATGGGTCTTCTTCTTCACCTCTTTGGGCAAGAAGGTCTTCAAGCGCGCTTGCTCCGTTCGTAGCGATGCCCTTCTAGTAGCGTCCTTGCTCCTGCTATAGCGATGCCCCTTCTTCTGGGTCTTCAAGCTTGCTCAACTTCTGTGAATGACCTGTGCGCCCTTTCCGCGAAGATCTTCGCACATCCTTTAATGACAACCCAACCTCCATGCTTTCGAGGAGCGTTTCATCGATGCAAATCACCGGGGCAAAGTCTGCAAACTTGACGATCGAGGAGGTGTTGTTTGTTCGCGCTCTTGAGACATGTTCGTCCCAAATGCTGCAGAGAAAGCACAGCATGGATCACCTCTGCTGAAGACCAAATGTCTGGTTTCCCACGTGCTTGAGTCAACTGCTTCTACGACATAGTCGAAATTGCAACATATAACCGCAGGAAACCTGTGGCGTGCCCAGGTACTATATAGTTTGCATATTTAATAAATACAATAATGCTAAACGTGAGCAGCACCAGTCTTCCAATAAATTCAGTGAGGTGCAAACATGTGCTCCTTTCAAATGGAGGATTAGAAGCAATCAAAGGCTCTGACTCAGGACCCACGGACAAGGTGAAGAGCCTGGACTTCACGTCCATTTGGTTTGTTTTGTCTCATTCCCCACTGTGGTGGATTGGCTTTGGGTTTCTTTTCATGTTAATATATCCAGATGAGGAGTGCAAAAAGCTTCTTCATGTCCCAAATACCAAAAAGTATCAACAAGTACTTTGGAATGGCCCCTAGCGGTTTCCTGCTTTGGATTGTAGGCAGCAACACGCTTGCAATAGACGAAGGATATACGTATAGGGTTGGCCACTATCGCTTGTGCAAGGTATTGATCAATTCAGAGGGATATACTTAAAGCAGCTCATTGCTAAAGCACATGTACATGTAGTTTTGTCGGATTGTCAATATTATTGGGTGTGAAAACTCATAGCGGGAGAGCATATAGTACAAAGTCAAAAAGTCTCCTATCAATTTCAGATCAAGTCCAGGTGCTGGAGACCCGTGGTCATTGCGCATACTTCCTGCCTCAAACGCACCCATGTGAAAACCTTTGTTCTCACTCCCTCACTTCCACCTGTTTTGGTGGAGAAACCCATCCCCAAAAGTCGTTGGGCAGGCGGCCGACCGAACTGAGACCTCCACATACCTCCACTCAGTTCCACTTCCGTCGGGTGGGTCATACTGTAAGAGGTCGACACTTGCTAAGTATATGGCTGTGCACCTATCAAAGCATGCCCTCCCTAGCTCACAACCCCCTAAAAACATGCCAACATCATAAATGTGTAGTGGGTCAAACCCACACCCAACGTTGGACTTGCAGTTTACTCATTCTGGACATCCTCAGTTCCACTATACATGCTAAATGTCAAAATTAGGCTACTGGAACTCACTGGAATTCCCAACTTGCCAAGGGTGGGTGGCTAGTAGAATCCACCAGTGTGCTCTCTCTTAGCGAATGCCGGTCCAAGTGGGCTAAGGTCACTGAAGGATACTGAAGGAACTCATCCAGTGATCTACCTGCCGATTCTCCCAAAGTTCGACTGGTCAGACTCCGCCCCCTCCCCTTCTGCACCACCCGCCCGAGAAGCGAAGCACCGACGACGAGCCGGAGCCGATGGCCTGGCCATGCGGATGGCGTTTCAGTAAATCGCCCAACATCACGTGGGGGGCCAAGGAGCCATAGCCTGCGGCGAGCGAACCGTTCGACTCGGGGGGATGGGATGAAAGGAGGTGACAGCGACTGACCCGGCCCGGGGATGAGCAGCCTTGAGACCGGAAAAACAAGGGGTTCCGAGCCGATGGCCCATGGCACCTCACATGGAACCTCGGAAAAAGACCATCATGGCACCATGGCACCTTGGAAGATCATGTTCCTCTACGAAAGATGGGTGGTTTTTGATCCGTTGGAAAGGCTGGCCCCATGGCGGCTGTGGGCGAAGGCGCTGGGTTGGCGGTGTGGAACAGCTGAAGGTGCGCAGCGGACGATGAAGGGGAAAGCAGAAACACTTCAAAGAATGAGCTTGGACGACCAGGTTGAATAGTATACAGGTGCATGTTCAAGGATCCACATATATGATCAAAAGATTTCAAAAGCAAGAGTTCTGAGGGTTGTAAGTCACAGTGTACCCTGGGTACCCTGTTTCCTTGCAATTGGTCTATCGGTGGCCTATCGAACTCGTGGATCTATACTCACCCATGGAAAACAACACGTTCTGCGTAGTCATAACATACATAGCGACGTATTCATAACTAGGCATGTTACATCTCACATCTATCCAATCTTTGCTGTTCAGTTGCATTAAGTCCATGAAGTGCCTCTTCCCGTCCCACCCAGGGTCCCTGCGCTGGAGTTGCCTGGCCTAAGACACCCATCGAGACCAAACTCACTCACTCTGCAGCCTTGAGCGCCTTGAGCCAGTGCAGCCTTCAGTTTCCAATCTGTTTACTGTGCCTCAAAACCATTCAAAACCTCGAAAACGGTCCGGTCCATTGTCCTCCATGGTCTGTCTTCTGAAATGGTGAAGAGTGTCTTCTGACCTTGGATTTGAAGCATCTGACCTTGGGTTTGAAACAACATCCCAGGTTGAATTCCAGGGCGGATAGGAGTAAGTATGGCCGAACACCGAAACAGAATGCTACCAGCAAAGGCAAACTGGGTATGTGACACTGGCTGTGAGGGATGCCACTGTGATCCTGACAACTGGTGCTGGTGGAAAAATGACGTGCTTCTATGCTTGATATACTCCACATGTGATGCGTCACATGCTCATATCAATTAGCCTGCTTGACAAGTGCACGAATGCTCATCGATCTCCCTCACAGGATTTAAGTAGGACCTGATGATGTCTTATGCTTAAGTCAAAGAAACTGTGTGACGCGGCGTTGGCCAACGACAAGACGTGTCTGAGACCGAGTAGCTCTAAGAAAGACTTCGATTTGGATCTGAGTCCCATCTCCATCGATCCAAAGGACCCCGCAGTATTTTCGGTACCCAGTCCGCCCTGACTTCCAACACAAAGCCTTTGTGTATTTGTTCACTTCAACATATCTGCTGGTGCAACTGGTATCCCGCCAAATCCTGCAAATGGCAAACACGGCGGCTGGTGGCAGAAACCAACTGCCCGCTGCGCTCTGCCGAACAAGCTATGAAAAAGCCATGCGCTGAGCTCTGTGTTTTTCACCAAGACGCCTTTTCGAAAAGGCGTAGAATCACTGCCACTTGCATGAGGTCCTTCCGCGCCACTCCATTTGGAGCGGCCCATCCGGCACTCATCCTCATCTCCACGCGGCGCGCGTGGAAGTCCCGCGCGTGGAAGTCCCTCTCTCCAGGGCCTTGGGCCAGGCCAGGCCTATGGTGTCTCCAAACGGTTTGTCAGCGGTCCCAAGAGAGGTTCAGTGACCATAAATAGGACCTGACTGGGGTACCTACATGGGATAGTCTATAAGGTCCTTCAACCTCTGTTGGTCACTGTGAAAAGTATGTTGGTCTCATTTATGTTATTTGGAAGTCCTTTTCTTCAAGGCGGTTCCCTGCAAAGACGGAAACTATCGTAAATTTGTCAACAAATTGCTTAATAGCGTGAAAGATGCAGTATCAGTATATATATATATTTATTTAGTTAATGCATATTTCAGGGGCAATCATGGTTCCAGTGACTTACTCTTGATTTGGGGTCAAAATTCTGAATCATCGATCACGCTGTGCCAAATTGAGGCGTCGCACATGAGCAGACCTGGTCCTGCTCAAGCTGGCACTGCCTTAGGCGGGACTTTATTGTCTGGACATGACCTGGTTGGCAGGAAGAGTCAAAGGTGATGTTCAACCCACTGATGAGCGCCACCCTGGTGGCTTCCGGGCAAGTTTGCCTGGTGATTTTGGGGTCTGAGATATCACAAACTGTGTCGGTGTCCAGCCCCGTATACTAGTTACATCTAGTTACTGCTGAAATTGTATCAGCCACAACGGCACCAAGTTGGTTGTAGGACTAGATCACTTTCTCAGCAAGTGAAAAGGCCAACAATTTGCAATGCATGCGGACATATTCAATTGCCACCAAAAAGGAACAGGGCAGCCCTGCAGGAGCTCCTATTGTTCAAAACAGACTCTCTGTAGATTTCCCTACCCAACCTGAGAATCTTTCACTCCAAAACCATCTGCAAACCCGTGACCGTTCTGCTCCGCCTGCGCGCGTGACCCGAACCTGGTCGACCTGCGCCGTTGAGGGCGAACCCGAACCCGCTTGATGGCGACATCGGTGATGGCGACTCCACAAATAGACCCTCAAAGCAAAACACCACATGAAACGAGCTTTTAGGTTTCCGTACTTTAAGCATACATGATGATGTGGTGATATTCTTCATAAATGAGACATGAAACTTGGACACATGGGAGTATATATGACAGGTCTTACTACTGGAAACATCAATAATCTGAAACTGAACCCCGCTACCAGATCAGCCCCACCACACACCAGCAGTAACATGCTTCCACCGGATGTTCACCTTCCAGCACCGGTTAGTATCAGCTAAGGCCATGGAAGAACGCCTCCAATCTAGCATGCTTCTAGCTACTAGTAGCGATGCATTGTTCCTAGTAGGGATGCACCTTGCTACTACAAGTAGTAGCTTCTAGCTACGGTAGTTAGCATGATAGGAGAAGCTCCAATGGAGGATCCTCACCCTTCCGCTCAGAGTTCTGGTGCCGCACCTTCACTTGGGATGTTGCCGGGTAGTAGAACTCTCCCTGGTGCAGGTCGCATCCGGTACGACTTGACCGGCTGCACGGAACCATCGATCCTGGAATGTGTGGCAATCAAAATGATTGCCAAAAGGAAACACTTGCGTGCATCGAAGTGAATGCATGACTGTGATCTTTCGCCTGTTAATGATTATTGGCAGAGTGTGTTTGCTTTACCTTGAGAAGTGATTTCATGCAGAACATCCTTGAAACGAAGGCCTGGAACTTGCTGATCCTCTGTCCGCGTTTACGCAAGGTAGGAAAAGCCAGTCTGTGGATGAACACTAGCCACCCTAAGTACTTGGAAAAAGTACAAAAAGAACCACTAAAGACTCAATCCCCGAGTTGTCAGTGAAAGTTTGTTTGCCCCTACACCCACTTGAATCAATCAACAAAAGTAAACGTCCCAGGTTCGAAGTTCCTTCCCGTGTAGAAGACCTCTTGGAGGAGAGTATAGGGTGGCTTTCTTGTGGCCTGCCTCCTTGCGATCCGGACCCTCCGGTGGACCGAAAACGGATCCCCACAACTGGGTCCCGCGCTGGGCCCAACTTCGATCCGCTCCACCGGGGTCCACCCACTTGCAGACACTCTCCCAACCCCCTAAGGCTCTTCCACCCCCTTGTGGGGTACTGAAGCTCGGTCCACCGGTCCACCGGTCCCGTTTCCGAACGCCCAACGAGTTCGACGCTTCGGTCGCGACCGGTTCGTCCGCCGAACGCCTTCTTGACCGCTTCTCGCAGGTTGCGTTCGGCGGGCAAAAGGCCGTGCCCTGGGAGGCGCAGGATAAGCGTAGGGCAGAGCGTGGAGCAAGCTTGCAGGGCACTGGAAGTCCTAAACAGTTGGCGCACACAAAACACCTTTCACAAGTAATTAAGACAACAAATGACAAGCATTGGGTAACATGTCAACCCACAAATATCATTAAATATCCACAAATAGTTATCAAGGTCAAGGTCATCGTTCCAAATCATTTTGTTCATGGCCTGACCCAAAACGACCCTGGCGAGAGAGCCCGTTGCTGCCATGGAAGAATTGGAAGACTTATACGGAAAGGAATTGTCTTGCAGGTTCTAAGGGCCAAACACTGTAGAACAATCACACAACACCTCCTATGTAGATGAGCATTGCACCGGCGCTCACATGTGTTTCTTTCTTCAGTTTTAATACTAGTTTCATGGAGCATCGCCATTTTAGTGGCCACATGCTGTTAAAAAGGAGGTGTAAAAGGCGTCTTGCCCAACAGTGACAGTGATGGGTGTTTTCTGGATCAAAGCTTAAGTAAGGCACATGCCAAGAGTTCGACACGACTGTAACCGGTTACTCTTTGTACATGTGGATGTGAAGCTCCACCCTCGTCACTCTCGTTCTCTTACACTTACCGCCATCTTAATGCGCTATGTTCAAGAAGTTCTGTTAGGTGACTCAATAAAGACAACCAAAAAGCAACTCAATTGTCGGTGTAGCCATGAGGGTCCACTATGGCACTATGAATCAGCCGAACACACCTGCAAGGAACGGCGGATATTTCCCACCAGTGACCACCAAGCAAATGTTGAGCCTCCAAGTATGGCATCGGGCTCGGAATTGTGGGGTGCACTTTAAACAACATAAAAGATTGAAACAAGGCGGTATTTTGCACATCTCTTCGCCTTCCTCTATCAACCTCTCTCTCTCTCTCTATCGTTCTCTATCTCTCTCTCTCTCTCTTTTTTCTCTATGCAACCACTCACGGTATCTGCTTGATTTCCTAAGCGTCTCTCTACCCCAAAGAAACCCAACTATCCAAAGATTTACATGTCGATACTTTCTGGATGCCTGCTCATCACAAGAACTGCAAAGTCAGCTTCTATCAAGAGATGTTCCCTGTTAATTCCATTCTACAGAAGGCCCAAGGGATGAGACTCCACATCTCGACGAGCAAACGGAGCGTCGCCCGCTCTGGATGCCATAGTTCGGGCTAGAACAGGTGTGGTGCTACTTTGGAGAACTAGCACGACCTCCCAGTTCAACCCCCATTGGTCCAAGGGAAAAAAGGTCCATCTACCCAATCGGATGCGAGTCGAGACCCGGACTTTGAGAAACCATGGTGAAACCAGCGGGCGCAGGTGTTCCGTGCAAGCAGGTGTTCCGTTGCAAGGAAAGTCTCCAAAAGCATCCAAATGCCAAACCTGCCACCTTTCGTAGGTTGCGAGTCGGTCGTTCCTTTCTGCGAGGACTGCAAGGCTATGGCTATCAACAGCCGAAGGCTATCGGGTGGTGGGGAGCCTGAAGAGTTTCAAGCCAAGTGGCCCATGGTGGCTCCCAAGGGTGGCTGAACGATAGCACCAGTGCCTCCCAGCAAAGGCACCTTCTGCCTGGGACGTGGGAGAAGATCTCCCAGGGGAACCCCCGGGCAAAATGTGACCAGAAATCCAAACAAAACCACCAGCGACTCCGAGGATATTCATCTCCATTAGGCTTCCTAACTTGTGGTCACACCGTTGTACCCAGATATACGGCACTACTTCGGGGGACATACTTAATTGGTGGTACGGGGGCCCTATCCAGAGTATAGAGACATCGATCATTGATGGTCTATATATGGTTTGCAAGGCAATACCTATATGTCTGGCGGGTGCAAAAAGAAGAGTCCCTGTTATTGGTTATATGTGTCCAGATTCTCGGCCAATCAGTGTGGTGCTGCAACTGTGATATCCTGTTGACCAACGTGGTAGGGATTGGTTGATATGAGTCCATCAAATTCTCTTGTCTGTGGTTTTGCTAGATGGAACGCACTAAAGCCTGTGGATGAAAACTCTGCACTCCACCAAGCAAGGGATTTTGATTCGGTGGTGACCCCTGCCGAAGGACTATGACACCTATCAGAGTTTTCTTGTCCTATGGTTCCATGTTGGACAGTTCTATCCATCAGCCATCAGCTGGTCTTCCACGCATTGGCAAGAAAATGGTGATCCGCAGTCGAAGATCATGATTGAGTACTTGGTGAACACATGGGGGTTGCCCAACAGGTAATCCTTCAGATGATCGTGGGGCGAGTTCCGCATGCAGAATGCACCTGAAACAGGATTTGGGCTTCGTGGGAACACATGTTGATGTAAATGATGAGGCAACAAAAGTCTGCTGCTATAGTTTTGGGGACATAGACTATAAATTTGTTCTGATCCTACTCCCAAAACTCGTCCCAGTCAGACCCCCGAATCACACCCACCTCGGTTGCCGTGGCTGCGATCGTAGGACACCCTGTGGACCAGGGCCCAGGGCTCCTGAGTTGCTGAAGCGTCTCGGTTTAGTTGGTGGTTTGCGACCCAGGCGAGACCTCTCATACTAAGAGGGATCTCAAAGACCAAACCACCAATTCACAAAATTTGACTGGAAACCCGGCACCAGCAAAAGCATGCGATAGGTCTGCCAAATCGTTTGTGTTTGTCTGAGACCGTCCAGCTTTTGGCTTCCTTGGCAAGTCTAGCACTTGAACGTTCAAGTACACCATAGATCACCATAGCACCATCTGGAGTAAATCAGAGTAGTTGTGTGATAATATGGACACATACTGATACGTTTCAAAGTACCTGCATCACTGGTGTGCCTGCTCCTTGCGTGGTGTTGACCCTCATGATCGCTAAATATCCCAAATGGCTTGGTCTTTCCAAATAAAGCCCCAATGCCGAGACCAAGCAAAGTCTCTGAAGACCAACGTAGCATCCAACGGAACACTGCACACTGCACACTGGCATACCTTTCAATTAAAAGTGATCAATTTAGCTTTCCTAGTGGACACAGCCAATCAAGGATGCTCAGCATGGTCACCATCACTGTGGTGAACACCCGAGTTTCTGATCCCAGCTAGTCCAACTCCCTGACTGGGTTTATACTTAGTTAATTAAACTTAATGATCGTGTAAACTATTGATGGATTTTGGCTACACATGGTGGATCCAAACTCAGGTGCCTGTATAGTATTCAACTGCCAAGTGGGTGCAGGTAGAGATCCCCCAACTCAATGGGTTTCCTCTGAACGAGTTAAAGTTGAAGGCCTTACGGTGATCTCCATGTTCCAGGTCCACACATCCAATTCGCACGATACCTCAAACAACCAAAAACCCTTCACATGGCTTTGTTGATGCTGTCCCCTTTGCTTCGGTCCCCAGGCCGGTGCAACTCTCCGACCTCCGTGGCAAGGCCTCAGGTTCCGGTCAAAGGAGCGGAGGGCGGCTACAGCGTGAGCCATGGACATTGCTGCGTAGTAGGTTGATGACCATCCCCTACTATGGGAGATTAACCATGAGTCTTGGCCATGGTACTACTTTGCTCAAAAATGAAAGCTCTAGCTCTAGCGAAGAGTAAAGTGCGGGTGATTTCTTTGACACTACACTTGGCTACAAACTAATTACCACAATGATGTTTGATGCCTAAGTGGAGGGCGGCCGTGGTGCATTCTTGTCGGCAAAGAGTGGAATTCTAGACATATTCGAGCAATTTTTTGCAAAAAATCGCGGGGGTTGGGCCTCCGCCACCACCGCAGAAGAGTATACTTTCCCCCTTCTGACATGCTTTCTGGCATATCTTCTGGCACTCTTTCTGACATTACTTCCGGCATATCTTCTGACATTCTTTCTGGCATGCTTTCTAGCATATCTGCTGACATTATTTCTGGCATATTTTCTGACATTCTTTCTGGCGCTCTATCTCGCATATCTTCTGAATCGCGGTTGAGGTCCGGCGGGGAATACTGCCATCCGTAGCTGGCGGTTGAGGTCTGGAGGAGGAGGCGGAGGAGCAGGAGGCGGAGGAGGACGACGGCAGCTGACATAAAATCTACAGTAGCAACCCTCACCTGGGAAAACCCAGGAACTCTTGGATGCATGAAACGCCCAAAACGCAGGAACATTAGGAATCGATCATGGACGTTCTCAGCAATTCTGACAAGTTGACTTCGAACAAGTTGACCCTCCGAGCCCAGCCAAGGTGCAGAAGTCTCCGATCTGGGATCCCCTACCGAGCTTGGCCTCTCCCTTTGCGGGGGCGGTGCACAAATCCGTCCTGAGGACAGTGGCTTCCTCACTCTTCACGAGTGAAGCATCGTCTGACGCCACAGCAAAATATATATTCATAAACGAGCTGAACACTTCAGGAATTCAGGAACTACTGGTCAAGTGTTGTAAGGTGGACCTCTTCATTGAGGTAGCTACCTGAAAGAGGTGTAGTCAAACTAAGCTCTTTGACCAAAATAGAGGGGCTCAAAGGAAGATCCAACAGTGTGAGCCACTCGTCCCCTTACTTGTAGAGGGTTGATGTACAATTTGATATTCCACTACCCACTTGCCAGGAAAGCCATTCCTTTGAATCTGGGTTCATCTAGCTTCTCCATTCCAAAGCTAGTAGCATTGGGTTACCCTCAGTGGTCCTCCGTGTCACCATGGGCGGAGGACTGCACATCGCTTGCTTGGTGGGCCTCATGGGCCTTTGATGCCTGACCAATCTCTCATGTGATGCATCCAATCACTTGCGGAAATGAATACACTCCTGTCGAAGAGGATGTATGGAACCAAAGAGGGACATCCCAGCCAAACCTTTGGTCAGTTCCCTCCTTCTGAAGAACGCTTCTTCCGAGGAAAGTTGAAGGACATGCAACGTTTCCCAACTTTCCCAGCAGCGCCAAGCAGAACCATGTCCTTGAACTTTCGAGGGCGCCCCACCGCTTTTCCCTGGCCAATGAGCATCAACATCACTCTCCAAAAATGGCACAGGATCAGTTGCTGAATGAAACTGTGCCCCAAACCATGCACTTAATTATTATTGTTGTTGTTGTTGCTGCTGCTGGTGCTGGTGCTGCCGCTGCAAGTGAAAAACACTTCTTGCCACTCCTTCGGCTCAACAACCTCCCGCCTTGCTCCAACCAACCAAAGGCCTAGGCCACGATGTGCCACGAACCGTTTGGACCCGCCGGTCGAGGAGACGATCGCCAGCGGGAGACCGGCCGTGACGGAGCGAGGCCGGGGGTCATGTGTGGAGCCAAAGGAGATTCCCTACGTTGATTTTATGATGGTTTCAGTTATCATATTCATATCATTTTATGCATATATATATATATAATATATATATATAATATATATATATATAATATATATATATATTGTATATTATATATATATATCCTACATAATATAATATATATATAATATTATGTTATATACGTGCGTTGTTGGTTTATATTTGTTGTCACATGTACAACAACAAAAGTGGTGATTCTATCGCCGGGGGTCACTCTCCAGAGCTCGGACTGTGCGAATCGATCTGCCAAGTGTCTGTGTTGAGCGCCGTGGCCGGCGTCTTGGACACCAGCGACGCGGCGATGCTGCTGTCAGAGCCTCGAGGCTGAACACTCCAGGCGGATGTGGCGCACACATGACGCGATGACACAAATAGGTTCTGTATGGTTCTGTCATGTTTTTTCTAGTATTATTCGACTGGAATATATCTGGCCAGGCACGTGGCATGTGCCTGAAGAAGCGTCTCAAATGGTCGCGTTGGCCATAAGGAATTTTGATCAATCATCTTTGATTGGCTGTAATGACGGGGGGTGTTCAAGAGAAGGCATGTTATATACCAGGCATGTTGGGCATGAGAAATGGTACCTCCCAGCCAGACCCAGGTCGACTACACACAGCCAGGCTGCATATGTGTTCATTGCGCTTCGTCACTCGTCATTGGTCAGTAGGTGTCAGTAGCATATATATATATATATAATTGACACAGTATCTACGGCATGGCAGCATGAGTATGCAGTAGAATCTATGCACAACATCACGATTCAGTGAAGTGAGCTGCAGGATGAAAGCAGGAGCTGCAGGGCTGACATTTTTTCCCGAGACCCGCTTCATCCTATCATCTATCATCTATGAAGGACCACCCATGCACACCAGTCGTGCCTGTCCTGTGTTGGTCCAACCGAAGCTCGAGCTCGGTCAGATCACCCGAGCACGACACCCGCGACATCACCGAAGCTGACTCCACCGTGACGATAAAGAAAAACTACCACGACACCGCGGATCCATCGAACGACCCGTTAAGGCAAAGAGGCGGCATCCCAGGATCGCATGAGCCGAGGCCGGCCGCGGCGGCAGGCCTGTGAGTGCAAGTGACGGTGACAAAGTCCGAAAGAAAGAGGTTGGACGGTGTTCCTTTCCAAAGGACTCTCTGAGTTCCAAGCACTCCACTGATGGAAGGGTTCGTGTAATGTTGGATCCTGATTAGTAAAAGGGTCCTCCAATGCTAATCTTTCCAAAAATAATGATGGACACCATGTTTGTTTTCAGGGTCCTCTATTGTGCTATTTGTTTTGGCTCCAAACTTAAAGAAATAATGAGGGATAATTAGGGTTTAACATACCCGTGAATATTCAGTCAATGACTGGATTGCTGAAATTATTGACAAATATATAGGTTTCTCTAGTTCTTCTTAAAACTTGACAGCTTTCCAATGCCATCAATTCCTTAATCAATCCTTTATGTAAAGATTGCTCCCAAACAAAATGTCAAGGTAGTAGACCAGGAAGGCCCCTGATCCGTAATAACAGATGCAGATGCTTTTAAGGGTCCGCAAAGGTACAGTTTCTTCCTGGATAAAACATTAAGTAACTCTAAATAGGATTAAGCCAATGGCTGGCTTGCTGAGAGTATTGATAAGTATATAGGTGTCTCTAGTTCTTCTTCAAAGCCGCAAAGAACCTGAGAACCTTCTTTGTCCTAGGATTGCTGAGAATATCAAATTACAAAGAACCTGAAGAAATGAATACTGCAATCACTTGCAAAAGGAATCCTCCCAGGAACCCAGATGTGTTTTTGGGGTAGTATATGTTAGAGGACCTCCCATTTGTTAGAGGGGAGGCGGGGGGGATCCCTTTTACTCATCAGGATCCAAGCCATTCGTCCCGAGCTCGGAACGGCGGTTTCCCGTGTTTCGGGACGCATGTTTTCTTCTTTCAAAGGTTCATCATTTGGGGAATCAAGTTGGGAGCCGTCTGACGGGTCGATGTCGTGGGACATGTGTGGGAAGAATCGATGGGACGTCGTTCGCCGGTCGAGCTCTCCCCGTTTCGGGTGACGATGGTTCAGATGATTCCACGCGGTTTGGGTCTGGGTGACCTGTCCCAAACCGCGTAGGGTCCGGTGACCTGCGCTTTGGATCAATATCGTATGCAAACATCACGTCTCGAGACTCGAGACTGTTTGAGAAGACCTGTCTACAGGTCCCCAAGAAGGTCCTTGGCCCCCCCCCCCAACAAGAAGGCATCCGAGGTGGACAGGCGAGTGATCTAGACTCTGAGCTCCTGATATTTAGTCTTGGGGGGAAACAAATCTCCCACAAGTTCACAAGACGAATTGCATTTATTCATAATGCATTTTTCTATGTGTTCATGGCTCAGCAATCGTGAAATGTCTGTCACAAGCCACCAAGCCAGGCCGGACTGGTGTTTCGAAGTACCAAGGCAGTCAAACAATCACTAACAATTCAATGGATCTTTCTGTGCCCGAATGTGCCCGATGGTGTACCTCATGCAATGGAGACTCAGTCTGGGTTCTGGTTCACGATCAAACCTGGTGGAGGGCCTGGCTCAATGGCCACCTCTAGCATAACCTGAGGTCAGCAACTCCCTTTCAACATCAGTTGTCCAGTCCCCAGCCATTGTGCAGTACCAACCTCTTTTCCTTGATGTTCCCCACCTCAAAGCATGTTTTCGCCCTCACACACACAGGTACACCCTCTAAGGTTTGGATTTCTCCGATTTCTCCCCACAAGCCCTCCGTCTCCCGTACAGTACCTGAGCCTGGGAAACCTGTGGATCACATCATGTCCCTTCCCAATTCGCTCCAACGTGGTGCACCGGCGCCTTGGCGCCAGGCCTCAGGGTTGCAGAGGTCGCTGTACGACCCGAGCCTTCGTTGGAGCCGGTCTACTTTCATCCCAGCCTGGCCAGATAGGTCTTAAGATGTCTTAAGGGTGGTAGCTGGCCCTTTGGAAGTATTGGCCAGGTTGCATATGGATTTGGGGGGGCCCGAAACGTAGAGGCTTAAGAAATCGTCATGGATCGTTGTGCATGAGACGGGCGTCGGCTATACGTCGAAGCGACCGAAAATGCAGTAACAAAGCAACTGGCAGTGACACACACACACACACACCCACCCACCCACCCACGCACCCACCCACCCAGGCACGCACGCACGCACGCACGCACCCACGCACGCACGCAGGCACGCAGGAACACTTCCATGATCTAAATCATACTCGGTCAACCGTTGAGATCCCAACCTTGCATAAACAAAGAGGTGAAAAACAACAAAACGTTTCAAGACGAACGTGTAGTAAGGTGCATGGTCCTCAAAGCCCATTTGGGGCGTCATGGGGCGTCCGTATACCGCGTGGATCGGTCGATGATCAGTTGAACATCGGTCATAATAAGAAGCGCTGATTAGATGGTCGACTTGAAGGTTCAGGGCGTCCAAAACCCATCAAAAACCAAAAGATGGATGTGGAACACCCTTTGTTCGTAGAGCAGAATGCTCTGTTCCCATTATCATCTTCATTCCTTTTCCACTTCCTAATCTGGTTACTGGTTCCTCAAGAGCGGATATAGTGGCCCACTATATATTTGCCGACCCCAATGTTCTCACCGTCCTCCTCCGGATATCGCCTCCCGACCGAGACATGCTCTCACAGCCGAGCAGCCCCTCGCAGTTCCGGCACGCGTTCCGGAGAGTCCGTCGCTTCCTGCCGAGGAATCGAGACCCCTGGTGTCTCCAAACGAAGCAAGCCTGGTGGGGTCCCTTCGGTGGTTCTTTGTTGTTCGGGCGCTGCTGATTTTGTGCTGCTTTGTTTTTTTCCCCGCAGAGAAAAGCATCATGTAACAAGCTTTTCATGCAATCGAGTCAGTAAAGGTTAGCAACAGCACAAAACGGACACCTTGTTTCTTGGCAAACGTCCAAGCCGACCCCAGATTAAAGCAACTCATCTTTATGGCCAGGCAAACATCAACAAAGCATCCCCACCCAGCTCACCTGTTTTGATTGTATCCAGCTGAGGCATGTGTTCATGGCAGGGCAAACAAGCACATTCATCCCACAATCTGCCGTCTTCAGAGCAACTTCTATCATGTGCAAGACATGACTTTCTGCATGAATACCACCAAAAAAGAAACTTTCTAAAGGACTCTAAAGGTAGCAATTTCCACAAATGAACGTCACACGGCTCAAGTAGTTGTAGGACTGACTGGAAGGAACAACAGTATTTGCCCTCTTCTTGGACCTGTGGAGAGAGAAGAGTGCGGTCTTAAAGGGTGAATCCACCAGGGAGCCCCCTTAATAAGGTCACTTTAGAGAAGGCCTTATTGATTTGCATGATATAACTTCTCTTACTTTAAATCTCGTTCACCGAGTTCTCCATCTCCCCACGTCCCAGCCACCGGCCACCGCGCGTACGTCACACGACGTCGACGACGCGCCTGGTCGTTCTCTCGAGATCGTCCATCGAGGGCAGTGCCTGGTCGTTCGGGCTCAACACGTTCGTTCCGCGCGGGTCTTCAGTTATTATCAGTGCTGAATATCAGTTTTTTCTGAATACGTTATGACTAATTAGTTATATTTGTGTATATATATATATATGAATATCATATGACATTATTTTCATTTCAACAATAATAACACCACTTGGCATCACTCGGCAATACTTAGCATATCTTTGACAATAGAAACGGGGCCGGACGGCAAAAGGAGTTTAGCCAAACAGAACAGCCAAAGCAAAGCAACTGAAAACGGCAAAACGAAAACGCAACATCGAAAGTCAGGGAAAGCAACAAAAAACACGCTAAATACAACTCAACTTACAGAAAACACAATGCAAAACTGTCAGAAGCCATTAAACATCATATGAATCACAGAACAAAAACACCGGTTCAACCGTTGGAACGGACCTGTCAACCGGTTGAACCATTCCCTAGTAAGGCCAGGAGCCCCTAGTAGCGTCCTTGCTCCTAGTATCGATGCCCTTGGTTCCTAAACCACCGTACTTCACAGCTCTTCGTCAGGCGCAAATCACTCTCCGATCAATGGCCATGGCCATGGCATTGGCCGCCATGGCCCCGAGTCGGTTGTTTCCAGGGGCGTTGGTTTTTAACATGCCAAGATTGTGTGTTTTTTCCGTGGTCCATGTTCATGACTCGGAGAGTCTTTTCTTGGAGAAGCTTCACAGTTCTGCTTCACAGTTCAACAGACTGAACAGGCCGTGTTGGAAGGCTGACCCTCAGCGTTTGTGGAGCTAAAACCATGAGGAGTTGACATGAAACCAATCTGCTATTGATCTTCCAGGACCCAGGTATTGAGAAAAACAATCGCGCGTTAGAGATATCTTGAAGATGCTATACTTTTTAAATCTGTGCCAAATGAACATGTCTTGGTTGTTCAACACAATTATTGGAATCGATCTTGAATGCCTCAAATACGTGTTTAAATCGGTTCATGCAATCTCTTCAAGCGTCAGCAAAAAGAACAGGCATGAAAAGGCTATCCGCAACATTATCGGTGTTTTTAGGATCACCAACAAAAACTATCCTGTTGTGAATCCGAAAAATTCAAAAACATGTTGAATATAGTTGAACTGTTCCCCTTGGCATCTGCGCTTCATCACACGAACACAAACCTCATCTAGTCCAGAGTCTCGTTCTCCCGCCTCGACTGGTCTCGTTCTCGTCGACCCGCGGCTCCTGCGGTGGCCCAAACGGTCGACCGGGTGGCGTCACGAGGGGTCCGGAATCACCGTCACGAGCGGTCCAGCCCGAGCGGTCCAAGCGCGGTCCATGAATGGAGACAATCTAGCAGCTCAACCGGCTAAATTGACATATTGGTCCAGGGAGCGGGAGCTCGGGAGCTTGTACCCAGGTTTTTGCAGGAAGCGGTCAACATGTCAATGTCTAACTTAGACAGTCGAAGGGAGGTACTTACTGTAGTTTCTTTTGTGATCAAAATAGTGTTGATAAAGGTGTCTAAATAAAAGAGTCATCTCCAAATAAGACTGATGTTGAAAACAACAGCACACGAGGATACGCGATGACCATAGCAAAGATCGCACAGTATAGCATCTTTTAGATTCTGTAGCCGGATTAGTCCGATCTCATTGGAAAGAAACGTGCAAATGACAACATATAAAATCCTGAAGTTTCGTCAAAATAAAACCTCAAAATGCGCAGGGACTAAGATATCTGGCGCTTTCAAAAACATTGCAGCATCCAAACTCACCACTACTATAGTGTAAAACAAATTGTTTCAAATGAAAACTAAATGTCTGGTGTTTATCGCGCTTCCAATTGGTTCGCACGCAATCGATTCTCAGAAGGCGCGCCGGGTCCAAACGATCGAAGCACGGAACTTCCGCACCCTCCATGGCCTCGGTGTGGCCTTTGTAGACCTTCCACACCTGAGAAAGTTCATCGAACCGACGAAAAACCTTGAAATTGCGCCAAGGTCTTGCGCAAGAAAGTCAGTTTCACCGTTTCACCACGGGGAAAAACATGTTCATAGACGAATGTGGTCAGCACGTGCGGTCTTTACTGAACAAACACGCAACACATGCCAATTTATCTAAGACTCTAAGAATCTAATGTTGTGCTAATCAGCCATGATCAGAAGCGCATATTAAACAAACATATTCATAAAATGGCAACTCGAAAGAACGCTTGTTGGCCCGACCCTCATCTCTCAACTCGACACTCTGAGCGCCCTTGGCCCCTGCTGTAGGGCCACACGGGCCGGTTTTCTTCCTCCGGCGCAGAAACACAAAACCCTCCAAACAAATCAAGCAAAAACTGCTGGAAAAAACACCCTCAGTGTCTGATAGTTTCCATGATGATGTTGCATATGCTATATTCGATCAAACAAACGTTTATTGTATATTGAAAACCGACTCACAACAGAAGTCTTGCCATGTTTTTTCCATGATTTTTTTTAATGTCTATCCTTTGACACACTAACAAATCTAAATCCATGTAGTTATATATATGTATATGTCGGTGTATATGTTTGTGTATGTATATATGCGTGTATGTATGGTTGTATGTATGTCTGAATGTACGGTACAGTCTGGTGTGCTATGTATGCGTGTGTGTGTATGTGTGTATGTGTCTGTCTGTCTGTCTGTCTAGCCTGTCAAAAGGTCTGGCTAGTCAAAAAATATCCGATCTAATGGCTAAATCGACATCTTCACATGTTAATCTCCTCCGCTGCGGCGATGCATCATCCATGTGCGTGGTGCTAAAGAAGCAGTTCTATATGCCGAAACTGTTTACGGACAAAGCTGGTGTGTCTGGTGCTAGAAAGCAGTTCTGTATCCTGAAATTCTGTTTTGGACAAATCTGTTTTTTGGACAAACATGGTGCGTCTGGTGCTAGAAAGCAAGTCTGGGGCCTGAAGTCGTTTTCCGACAAAGCTGGTCCTATCGTTCTGTATCGAGTGATCCCCACCATGACATTTCAATCTGACCCGTTTCCTGGCATGTATTGAAACATTATTTTGGCAGTCCTTCTGGCATATCTTCTGACATTTTTCTGGCATATCTTCTGGCATTCTTGCTGGCATATGCCCTGACATTCTTTCTGGCATATCTTCGGACATTGTATCTGTGGCATATCTTCTGACATTCTTTTTGGCATCTCTACTGACATTCATTCTGGCATTCTATCTTGCATATCTGCTGACATTCTTTGCTGCATAACTACTGACATTCTTTCTGGCATATCTTCTGACATGCTTTCTGGCATATCTTCTGACATTCTATCTGGTATATCTTCTGACATTCTTCTCTTCTGACATTAATTCTAGCATTCTGTCTGGCATATCCGCTGACATTCTTTCTGGCATATCTTCTGACATTCCTTCTGGCGCTTCTGGCGTATCTTCTGCATATCTTCTGACATTCTTTCTGGCGTTCTATTTGGCATATATTCTGACTTGCGGTTGAGGTCCGGCGGGGAACACTGCCGTCGGGAGCTGGCGGTTGAGGTCCGGCAGGGAGCACTGCTGTCTGGCGGTTGAGGTCCGGCGGGGAGCACTGCCATCCGAAACTCGCGGTTGAGGAGGACGAGGAGGAGGAGCAAGCCAGCTGACATATAATCTAATGTCTAACAGCCCTCACCTGACAGGTGGGGAATAATTGCCAAATGTGGTGTGTCTGGTGCTAGAAAGCAGCTCTATCACAAAATGGTTTTTTGGACAAAGCCAAGAATAAAGCTGTCTTTTTGCCAAAGCTGGTGTGTGTGTGTGTGTGTGCACCTTGGGTTTTCGGTAACCTTTAGGTTTTCTTCTTGCTTGGATTGTGCGGAAGCATGCAGCATGTTTGCCGGGCCGTGCTCAACGAAGCTACCACAATCATGGGATACCGAGTCTGATCAACTTTGTGTACCTGCTGCTGTACTTTCACTTCCTCTTGGCCCCTGTTTGCAACTAGGACAACCTCGCCAGCCTTTGCATCGGTTTGCACTTTGCAGTCACGCTTCGTTTAGATTTTGAGACTTTGCATCCTGTGAGTTGAAGCTTGCAATCAGCCTCTCAGCGTAAACCGAAAAATAACTTTCTGGTGCGCACACGGGTCGCCAGGTTTCCCCAAGACATGCACGTGCACCTGCACGCTTCTCAAGGCGCCACTCAATTCTTGTGAAACTCAAACTATCCTTGCCGATGTCAATATTCGACAATAATCGCGGTAAGTAGACTCTGTCTGTCTGTCTGTCTGTCTGTCTGTCTGTCTGTCTGTCCATATGCACATGCATGCCAACAACCATACAGCACCGATATCATCATCTAAATGTGTTTTATCTGAGTCAAGTATTTCCCTCATTGGCCAGGTTGCCATCCCAAGAAAAAGAAGAACCACTAAATATCAGGATCTATCAGGGTCAACCGACACCGGCGCGTTTGTTCACTCCATCGGCTCCTCCCACGCCACTCCAGCACCTAGCTCCAGAAGGGCGAAAGCACGGCGAAAACCTCCGTCTCGGCCCGGACCCGGTCTTAATAGATGTGCCATGATATCCCGGAAATGAATGTAGAACCAAAAAACGATTGATTAATGAACCCTCCCATAGAAAAACAAAAACACATGCTTTAAAGCTTAATATTGTATGTTTATTGTGTTGGTGTTCTTATTGATTAAGGCTGATTAAGGGTCAGAGTCAACCCTCTATATGAAGAGGCTTTGCAATCCAAATGGGTCTGCCATCAAGATCATTGGCCATTGCCACCCTGTCACAAGGCCATCTACATCTATATAACATTATATAACTAAAAGGCCATCATCTAAAGTATCCTAACTAAGCACAGGGCTGTCTTGCCGACCCTAACTCACTCCCAAACCGTGTCTGACGGAACCTGTTCATGCGATCCCTGGGGTGTCCCCAATCCTCCACAGTTCACGTACTGGGCAGCTGAAACACGGATTCTGCGGATTCTGCGACCGCGGTCGCTCGCATTTGCTGCCAAAGGCACCACTCCAGGCTGCAGCCGCATGGCCCAAGGACTTGGTTGGCAAGCATCAGACCTCATGAGTGACCGGGTGTAACGATGGAATCGCCTCGGTGAAGGGAGTTGAAGGGATCCTGCCAATCCTGCCTGTGTTGTTGGTTCTTATTTATGTCTTTTTAACGTATTTTTAACAACTTGACCTTTGGAGGCTCGCTTTCGCTTTGAGGTCTCTCTACATGTGATTTGTGTCTCTATGGTATTTTCCAGCCAATCACGTTTTCCTGGATTGGTTAAGTCCTCTGGGAGTTGCATCAAGTCACCTGCCTCATGGGAAATGCATGCAGCTTTTAGAGAGAAGTCACAAGTTATCACACGATATTTGTTTTAGACACCATAGAAACACTTTGCGGAGATATCATTCCAAGACTGTTCGACATGAAGAGTCTGTCGACTCATGCTGGCCAATACCACAAGTTTTCTTGATATGTGTCTCCCCTATAGGTCCAAATTAGAACGAGAAAGCTTTTAGATGGGGGTCCACCGACATTGGGGATTGTGCCATCTACTCTCAATCCACCGTAACTGTGGTGGTTGCTTGGGATGCACTGACTATAGTTGAGGGATGTTGAGGGACACCTTCCGCACCAAGATTCAGCCTCAATGCCCTGTAAGCACTTGTGGTAAATGCCGATCCCAGTTCTTCTATGTTCTTCTGTGTTGGTTCTGTCTTTTCGTTGATCCCTTGCTGAGGGATTAGCCATAGAATAGCGTCAAGTATCTTCAAATAATGTAGACTCTAGATTAATAAACCCTCTCCCTTTGGATTGAACAGCCTCTTCATATGGGAGGGGTTTACTCATCAAGAGTCTACATTAGCTTGTAGTATCATGTGACAGACTCATGCTTGGTAAGGAATACGGCTGGATCCTCCACGGGATCTCTTTGTTTTTTAGGGCATTCCTTCATGCCCACAGATTAAGAAAGATCCTACCAGCCTTAGAAAAAAGAAAAAACTGGTCATCGGCGCCTGGTTCCTTCCCGAAGATTCCCCACCTACCAGCCTGGAACAAGATGACCGGTGTCCTTCCGGTGGCTTGTTCGGTGAACCACGTCCCATTCTGCGCCCCGCCTGACAAAGCCATCGGCCACCACCTCGGACCTGAGGAGGACGACTCTCGTCGCTGGACAGCTTGGTCCCCGGTTGGGGAGGGGAAAGAACCAGAGCAAGTCGGGGACGAAAAAACATGTCCATCTGGAGAGGTTTGACGCGCTTTGTTCTCTTTTCAATGTTTCGAACTCCTATGCCAAAGCCTGGTGGAACACAAGGGAATGTGATGTTGAATGACCAGCATCAATGGGCTGGGTTTCTCCGGATCATCCCCTGCCAAGACAGGATCCAATGGACTTCCTTGCCTGCTTCGCAAGAACCTGATGGTTTACGAGCTCCGACTCTTCTGTTTGGCCTCTCAGAACTGATGCCTTGAACTATGCACGGAATGCTGGCTTGTCGTCTGCACGGATGAAAAAACTGTGCCATGAAAACGTGTCTTTTGGACACACATGCAGATCGGCTTCAGTCTACTTGACCCTTGATTGATTTCTCTTTTAAACAGATGATGCCTCCTCCAATCACGGGGCAGGCCTCTCCTTTGTATGTTTCATGGGGAGCACTCTCCGGCCACGAGTGGGTTTAGACAAAAATTAGCCTCTTCCAGGGGTCGAACTGCGGTGCATTGCTATTTAATCGGTGAACATACTCTCTTAGGAGCAATGACGCGACTAGGGGCTCCTGGCCGTACTACTAGGAACAAGGACGCTACTAAACGGTTGACGACCGATGTTTTTCCACCCCACTCCTCCTGGTGCGCCCTACATTGGCTCCAAGAGCTTTGCATTCTCCTGGAAGCGAGTTCCCACAGGACATCCCAACACCAGGCTCAGCGCAAGCAAAATGGTGTTGCTCATATGCGCATATCTGGGCTATTTTTGCGCTTCCCATTAAAGAGCCGAACAATTCTTCCACCCTTCGACTCAACACTGAGCGGTTGAGCGGAGAAGAGGCCGACAACAAGATGTTTGCAGCGGCAGCCTTTGCCCATGTTCAGCACAAGCCCATAGGGCCAACCCATATCAAGCTGCTTACAACTCTTCAATATCTTAGCCATACCGAAGCCAACACCCAGTCTTCTGAGCGCACGCTGAAAACTGCCGGATAACTAGTTAATTAAACTACTGACAAGGCATCGGAGGAAAGTCCTCATTGGAAGCAGCGCACGCTGAAGCCTCCGCTGGAGGTTGACTGAGCATCTGGTGATATGGGTCTGTCTCAACGATGTGGGTGTTCAGCACCACCTAGAACAGTTCTCAACCAGTGGCCAGAAACAATTTGCAACAAAAAATGTCGGGAGCCGGTGACAACCCATATATGCTTGGATGGACATCAAAGTTGTTCTTTTTGTCACTTCCCCCAGTTGGTGGCCTGTGCCCACTTGAGGACCCAAGTCATGTCCTTGCTTCAGTAAAGCTGCATAGAACCTTGAGAATAGCTCTGGGTCGATCGCACAACGCTCTGCGAAGGACAGTTGCCTTTGAACAGCTAGGACGGGACGCTCTTTGGGACCAGGATGTGTTGAAAGGACTGGATTTGACCCCACAACCATGCGGCCTTTTTGTATTTGTTGATGACGCTGATGTAGGTCCTAAGAGGTCCACCTAGAATCTGACAAAGGGCGGGCTCTTGACAAGGGACAACTGAAAACCCTGTACTGTTCTGATTCTTTGTGTGGAATTCCTGGTGAAGTATGCATACCACCAAATAGATAGAAAAGTAAATCCCCACGTAGAAAATGTATTGGAAACCGTGCCACGATCTATTTGGGGACCACTATACACCTAAAACAACCTACGTACAGTAAACCCACCAGGTGTCAGCTCAGCGTAAAGTTTCTGAAGTGCCTCCTCCAAATCGGTTCTCGGGGTTGCCTGGACCAGCAGTGGAAGGGCAAAACGGAGCAGGTGGGGAGGGAATAAACCACACCCAACACAAAGAAATCTGTGCACGGTATTGCATGGTCACGGATAGTCTATACTGTAGATGTCTGGCTTTCAATCTCAAGATGCTTGTTTATGTTTGTAGTTGTAAGGAAGTTGTTCAGGCTATGAACATGAAACTGCCGTTCGGGGGATGGTCGTGAAGGCGAGCAGGAACCGGTGCACCCCCTTCAAGAAAAACAACAACATGAAAATAGAGCAGTCTACCCAGCCAGGTCCAGGGTGTCTCCCCAAGAAAACACCCATTGGATAAAGTCAACATGTTCTATTTGCATCCCTGAAGTATCGTCGACCTTTCAATGGACATCAGTGGACATCGACCCAACAAACATGGCGATCATGGGGACCTCTATTCGCTCTATTTAATTGTGCTATGGCTGACACCTTATGATTGTCTAAGACGGCAGCTCGCAGCTTGGTCGGCAGCCCCTGGGCTGGGCCCTCCATCTGAAGCCTTGACACTTCTGACATCGAAGCGAATGGAATCCATCATCTTTGGAAGCCTCGACTGGACTGGTGGCTGGACCAAACAATGAGTGGCTCTTTGGAAAAAGAGCGGTGTGGCGCACGAATCAGTGGCTGAATATCAACATTAGGTGAGTTCTAAGAGAAAAGAGCACCAAAAGGTAAGCCTTTTTGATAGAGATACCCTGTTTTGTTGAGGGAACACATTGAAAGGTCACCCCTTCTGTTCGTGTTCTTGTTTCTTGTCTGTGAGGCCTTCATATACTGTAATATGTTGGAACCACACCCTGGCAGCTTTTTCTGTTGGAAAATTTCAGGACAAACAAATACACAAAACAACACCATCCTCTGCTTCTCTATTCAGGCGAACATCATCTTGAGGTGGGACTATCAGCAAACAGTGAACTGCACCAACAGCCATTGCCATTGCCAAATATTGGGAAGAGAAAATGTTTCTCTTCAGAGGAAAGAACATGAGGCAAACATAATCCCCGTGAACCATGGGTTTTTCATGGCCCTGGACGTCCACCTCCCATTAATCTCTCCGGGCACCCGGGCCGTTCCACCTCCTCATTGTCGCGAAAAGGGTCTTCGCCTGGTTCATTGTCGGCCGCCTCAACGGCTCCCTCCCCTTGCGTGGACGGAGTGGTGCCCTTCTCGTGTTGGATGACCTGGCGATGTTGCAGGAGATCCCCAAACAACTGGTTGAAAACACAAGGCATGGAATCACACAAGGTCTACACATCTTGATCATGATGAATCCACCTTGAGCGAAAAACATCCTTCGTTTTTCTTAGCTAAGTCTTAGCCATGTTGGACTGAAGGCCAACGCCACAAAGCCGGGGCCATCGCCTGCAATTCGAGCCGTCTCCTCTCTTGTTCCTGCCGCAAAGCCTGGCAAAGAGAAAGGGTGCCCTGGTTGGTTCTGGAACCATTTCCGAGCCACAAATCTCCTGCGGTTCGTTGGACTTCTTTGGGGTGACAAAGACTCAAGTTAAAGACGGGTTTTCTTTGGTGTTTGTCCTATTGTGTCTTAGCAGCGGCTCTTATACCTATGTTGTACATAGATTCTATTATACATATGTTACATATGTAGAGACCTATATATTAGAGTCAGGACAATCCTGCACATAAATCTAATAATTACATACTGTATTGTTGAAAAAACAAAGATGTATATAGTTATACTGTATATGATACTGATATGTATATGTATGCAAGTCCGCCGCTTCAGCATGCGGGTCCATTCATGATGTAAAGTCTACCTGGGTACCCCGACGGCTTGTTCCCGCTTGCTCAGCTCGCACGGAGGGTTGGCCCTGAACAACAGCGCAACGGTGGATCTCTCTGGGTCGGAAACCTGAGAGACTACGTAAGTCACTAAGGTCACTGTGGTATTGAAAAGCAGGCTGAGAACTCACATCAAAGCCTCCGGGCGGAGCGCTGCAGCCATACTTGGCCTGAAATCACGGAAAGGAGCCAACACCACTCTCTCACTTGGCCATGTTTGTACCACGCATGATTCATGAGCCATATCACTATTACAGTACCGTGTATATAATATACATATGCATATGTATACTTAGCCCCTCACTGTTGTTTCTAGTTTTTTCCTGTTGCGAGGGCTCTTGTAAAATTACGTAAATGGCTGCTTTTGTTTCGAGACTCGTATGCAAAGTAGTTGCTATTGGATATTGTCATTGCACCCTGAGTTGTTGGATAGTGCTTTTGGAAAACCCTTGGTCCGCCAGGGCCCCATCGGCAACAGGCGTGAGGTTAGTGCATCCTTCCTTGGGTAAAATGTTGGGCCTCTGTTGGTGACTTGCGCTCTTCTTGAGCCTTTTCTTGTGCACAAGTAGCTTCTACATCTTGCTGCAGTGGCGTCAATGCCAAGGTCCCAAATTGAATCTCGAATGATGGGGCACTTGTGCGCTGCCACATGTTGCTGCAAGGCCCTGTTCCCTGCCAGCGTATTTGTAATGAAACGTGACTTATCCTTGTTGATTGCGAGGGAGATGTGGTCTAGCTCCTGATGGAGGTGTGTAGATTGCTACCGCGTGTTTCGTGGCTATCTGGGGGTCTTTGTGCACCACATCCACAGAGATGTCGTCTCCCCAACTAGCAACGGTTGCCATGGGGTGCTCGCGCAGCTTTTGCAGACGTTTCCAGAGATACACCTTGGCAAGGGTCATGGAAAACAGCAACCAGCAATGTGACTGAATGCTCTGGACGTACTGGTGTGGATGGTTCTGGGCTTTGCACGGAGCACCTCCTCGTCTTCTCGGTCCTCCACCTGAGGCATGGCAGGGCATCACGGTCACCCATGATCTGGAGCTGGAAGAAGAGATGGCCTTCCAGCAACTGAGGGGACCCCTCAGTTTGAACCCAAGGTTTGAGGGTAGAGATGGCACAATCCCCCAAAGGTGGTTTGGTTGAACCCAAGGTTTGAAGGTATTTATAATGGGTTGAGAATGTTGAGAGTAGATGGCACCATCTCCCCAAAGTCCAAAGTTGTGTTTTAGTGGGGTGCCAAAGCCGTCCACGCAAACCACTGTAACTGGTCGATTGGAGTTCTGCCATCAGTGGTTTGCCAATTTTTGGCACGTCTAATGAGGCTCTCGAGCCAAAACAAACAGACTTCGCAGTCTGGAAGAGGGGTTTCCAGTGATTCCACCAGAATGAGAACTTGGATACCTTTGGTATTCATGAAAATAACAATCAATTTATGAGAATGAAGCCTCGTCACTCATTTTCTTGGAAAAGGAAGTACCCAGAACCTCGGTCGATGACAACCAAGAACGCTTTTTAGGGACTTCGATGGGTATAGGGACTATGTGTACCCTTAAGAAGGTGTATGGGTATCACGACAAGTGCTCTGCAAAAAAACAAAACACACACACACACGACAACAAAAACGTCCCTGAGTGTAGTATTCACTACATAAATGAATCTAAATGGGCTGCTTACCGCTTACCAAGCTTAAAGCTTCCACTTGATGTGATTTGTCACTTTCTTCACTAGCTGCATCTAGCTAAATCAGCTCAAGCTCTTGATTCATTTTGATTTGGCAACCTGCGATACTCTGGGGTGGCTTTGGCTGGAGGGGTGTGTGCGCCTAATGTGACTGCTAAAACCAAACAACGGCGTGGTGCTACCGTCACCTAAGCAGGAGTTCCGGAGTTCCAGGTGTTTGGCCGGTGAAAACCCATGGCGCCGTGAACCCGACCAAAATTCATGGAACTCCTCACAGACTTTTCGAGACCGCACAGACGGACCAACTGCGTTTTTGTTGCCAAAAAAACACATCAAAGTCAAGTGGCTCCTTTAAGCATCGCGAGATGGCTTTTGCCCAAACTCCGTGAATCATCAGGTCGATTTTGTGATTTCTGGTCAGGAAACAGATGTTAAAAAAACTATGTTTAAACAGACAACAATGTAACAAGCTCCTGTTCACTATTTAGATGTATTTTTTGATGATCTTCAATGGTTCATTTATAAGTTAACATATATATATAATATCCTTTTCGTGGCCCTTCAAAAGCTTTTGACTATGTTGAACCCGTTCCAGAAGCGTCCACAAATCGACTCAGGTCCCGGCTGAAGAGCACGCAGATAATGGGGTCACGCGACTCTGGTGAAGCAGCCTGAGCCGGAGAGACCGAGCTCCGGCGCACGACGAGAAAGGCACCGAGTCACACCGTCGAAATCGGTCTTCAAGAAGTCGCAAAGCGTCCGCAAAACAGGTGGGAAGATTCATGAGATCCTGCTGTTCATGGAAGGAATCCACAGCAGGGATACCACTTGGTGTCTGCAGGTAGAAACAAAGAAGAAAGGCTACATTTTTCCATTTAAACATAGGCGACAGGCGAATCCAAGACTCGAAACTGCTTCCACTCAGCCGGCACGTGTACAACAAACCGTTGCTGCCGTGTGCGAAAGAAGTTATTCTTGTTGCTAGCTATAAGGTCCAATACAAATCAATCATCCAGTTTCCACTGCTTCCACTGCTTCCGCTCCACGTGTCATTCTTGTGAAAAAAAAAACACCCTGATCCTTCCTGGGGCCTTCGGCAAAGACTGTCGGCGGTTGGCCAACCGTGGAGCATAGGCCTTCACCCTCGTCTTCCTGTCCAGTGCGTCGGTGCCGCAACACCGCCACAACAAAAAGTACCACATACCACACCATACCACACCCTCTAAATACCCACCCTAAACACCTTCTCAGAAGGTACTTGCAGCCCTAGGGACACCCATTCTGCTTCAAAACAATCTTCTCCGAGAAATTCTGACATCCTAAGACCCACCCAAGCAGTTAGGACTTGTAGGACTACGTACAAAAAGGAAGTACGTAACACAGAAGCAGTGAGTCCAACCGGCAACACTCCACTCCCGAACCGGCCGGCGGCTTCGGCCGGCGGCTTCGTCCGGCCTCCGGCGCATGCGAGGGGAGAGTTTCACCTGAGGGGCTCCGACCGTCCGACGGACTGAACATGTGGTTGAAGGCATTCGGTATTGACCGAAGCATTTGGTCACCGGCTTGGGGAATCTCACACAAAGGAGAATGAATAACATACTCATCATATACTCCTTCCAACTCCAAAGAGTATGGTACTAAACTCAATCACGGTGCAAATATGACAGCTTGATGGAAAGAACAATCGGATAAACAAGATATCGAACGGGTTAACAAGCTATTTGTCTATAGTCTACTCAACTGACACATTTTGACCACGCAACTCAGCGCGTTTTGACCCTTGTCTGTCATGTTTCACCTACAACATCCTACGACTTTTTTTGCTCACTGTCCACTTGAGCTATGTCCCATGCGCTTGCTAAGCTCACAACCTCTGCTATCTCCGCTTGATTGTCCTCGTCTTTCAACACCTTGCAAAAACACATCGCATGACATCCCTCCGAATCTGTCCTCATCCCTCCCAGGAGATCGTGCGTTTGCCCCCCAAAACTCCAAAACACGTAGTGGATGGTAGTTCACTCGTCCTCGTCCACACTGGGCCATATTGGTCCAACCATCCTCTCGACGTCCGGTCCGATCTTGGTCAGTACCATCGATCCATCAGTTTTCTTTGGGATGTTTTTAGACAAAACATATTATATATATATATGTACGACTGTATATATTGCTATACAATGTGTTGTACCTAAACGGCCTAAGATGCCAAGCTCGTGCGAAACGATCGTTTTGTTTCTTTTTTGTGCGGAAGTTCTTGGAAGGTCTTCGAGCAGTTGTGGAAGGTCTTCCAGCATTTGGTGAGGGTCTGACGGTCTTTCACTGGTTTCTTTTCGATGCGGATTACACTGAAAACGTGATGAAACATGGGCATCTCTCATCTGCTTGGACCCAGGACAGGCTCTCAGCTCCCGCACGGAATGTGAAGATATCTAACGGACTGTGAGGACAGCCTCCACTGCCTCCCTCTCTTTCTCGGTTCAGGCCGACCCAAGAAGGACCTTTTCCGGATGCAGCGGAACAGGGCAGTCTGCTATCGCCACGCTCAGTTTTTGCACAGGTCTAATCTTGGCCGATGGCCTCCTTGGAAATATCCCGATTGCGAATGGCCCCAGAATGGCTGGGGTTGAGCTCCAGGACCCTGTTGTAATCCTGGATTGCCGCCTCATGCTGGCCAAGTGCCATTTTGGAAACGCCCCGATTGTGGATAGCTTCTACAAGCCTTGGATCCATCTCAATAGCCTTGTCATAGTCCTGGATGGCCGCCTCATGCTGGCGAAGAGCCATCTTAGAAGTGCCTCGATTAACAAATGCCGACGAAAGGGCTGGGTCCAGTTCAATGGCCTTGTCATAATCCTGGATGGCTGCCTCATGTTGACCAAGAGCCATCTTGGAAGCTGCCCGATTACGATATGCCGCAGGATCTCTGGGGTCCAGCTCAATGGCCTTATCGAACTCCTGAATGGCCGCCTCATGTTGACCAAGAGCCATCTGGGAAGTAGCCCGATTACGATATGCTGTAGGATTTCTGGGGTCCAGCTCAATGGCCTTGTCGAAATCCTGGAGCGCTCCCTCATGCTGGTGAAGAGCCATCTTGGAAGTGCCTCGATGGATAAATGCTGTAGAATTTCTAGGGTCCAGCTCAGTGGCCTTGTCGAAATCCTGAATTGCCGCTTCGTGTTGGCCAAGAGCCATTTTGGATATGCCCCGATTACGATATGCTGCAGGATTTCTGGGGTCCAGCTCAATGGCCTTGTCGAAATCCTGGATTGCCGCCTCATGCTGGCGAAGAGCCATCTTGGAAGTGCCTCGATTGAAAAATGCCGACGAAAGGGCTGGGTCCAGTTCAATGGCCTTGTCATAGTCCTGGATGGCCGCTTCGTGTTGGCCAAGAGCCATTTTGGATATGCCCCGATGGTGAAATGCTGCAGTATGTCTAGGGTCCAGCTCAATGGCCCTGTTGTAGTCCTGGATTGCTGCCTGATATTGGCCATTCGACATTTTGGAAATGCCCTGACGGTAAATCTCCATGGCTCCCTGGGCTTGACCCATTGCCTCTGATCAATGGCAACTGCCCAGAACTTCGTTGGTCACAAATATCCCTGCCTCTAGGCTTTGAGCAATCCAGCAATCCGAGCGTGCGTGTTAGAGGGAGGGAGGGAGGGAGGCAGGCAGGCAGGCAGGTAGGCAGGCAGGCAGGCAGGCGAGGAAGGAGAATTACAGGGTAAAGAAGGATCAAAAGGTTGTCAAATGTCAAGAAAAATAACTGAGAAAGTGACCGACTGGGTTCGTAACATGGTTGGGTTTGTCCACTTGAAACAAGTTTGACCCCGAGCAGAAAGCAGTGACACCATTGAAGATCTGTAGAATCATGAGGTGGTTTAGCAGCAACTTAGCTGCTGAGACAATCTTACCATCTCATGATGGTTACATGGTTGGACACAGGAAATCAGTGGAAATCAACAGGTTAAAACCAGCACGATAGCACGATGTCCATATCAGAGTACTTGCCAAGGTTTACGGTGCCCGGAATATCCACTCATCATTCAAATCCACGGTAGGCTCTGCTGGGGCCCTGCGTCCAACCACCGCACTTCGTCCAAACAAGCTTCGTCATTGGGCCTCAATCTGCTTGCGCAACCAAATGTCTCGCGCCGGTGGCCTCAACAGCGATGTTCCAAAGCGCGAAGCGCGCTTTTCGGTGGCCGGATGTGGAGGATGTTCCTAACGGTCACAACAGGAGGCGCAGGAGACAGCGGTTTTATCTTTGGAGGGCCTTCTGAGAGGCTCGGTGTGATTCAATGATCTGAATCTACTTCCTGCTTCTCTCCACCGACCTGTTTTTGAATTGGTTCAGGATGTCATAGGCTTCATTAGGTTTCAGGACCCTCCAAGTGTCTTCTGATAAGAGTATACCTTTGAGCCTCCAAAACTCAAATACTTGACCACGTAAGGACTTGATATATGCCGCCATTAGCAACCCGTTGATTGTCTAAATAACTCCAGCCATGCCGGGCTGCCGGTTCTGGTCCTGATCCGCATCGCATCGGGAAACCCGGCAGCGGCTCATCCTCTTCGACAGTCCAGGTGTTTTGCTCCTCACCGGTGCAGGTACCGTCCACAGAGTCGACCATGTGGAAGCAGAGTAGACCAGGTGGACTGAAGCCGAGTCGACCAGGTCCCAAACCCCTCTTGCGAACAGGTGTCAGCAAGCTGAAGCCTCTAAAAGTAACGGTCAAAGCCATGCTTCATGGATCAATCCAATTGTCAGAAGAAAGCTGGACCGCTCCAAGACTCCCCCAACACTGCGGAAGAGAAACATCTTGACCACACAAGTAGTAATGACCAAGCTTCTTGGAGACCTCAAAAGCTTCTTGTTACGAGTAAGAGCCTCCACCCTAATGGCGATGGCATCCAACCTAGCTTCTTGTTAAACTTGTTGAACAAACAAGTCACTTCGGTGCCCTCCCTCTACCATGGAAGTGGAACATGTTCCCTGGAAAAAAAACAAAAACAAAACAACATGAAATCCTCTACAAACTGGGACTGCCCACTTCCATGTTTGTTGGAGAGATGGTAAATCACGGCCACAAATCCAACGGCTCAATCTTCTCAACATCGCTTTGGATACGCAGGCACTTCATGAGACCCAGTATGTCCAACTAATGCAAGCTCTTGATTGATTAAAATAAACAAACTGATTTGGATAGATAATATGACCTCTTCGTAGATGTTTCGTGCTGTTTTAAACGAAAAGTCTATATATGGGTTAGAGACGTGTCAATAGATCTCCCGCCCTTTTTTGTGGCAAGATAGACAACATCTGGAAAGCTAAGACCTGGAAATGCCCCCCCCAAAACCATGAATAAAAACGTGGAGGGATGCAACGTGACACAAACCACCCTAGAACCAAAGGCCGTTCGTCTTATAGATTCATGTAAACTGCATACTCGGATTTGCTGATTAAGGACCTCAACATGCGGTTTCACGTGTTTTCCGACACCGAGGCGGTTTCACTGTGGTGTCACACCCCACGGGCTATTAACCCCCGCGTGTGAAACACGCTAAGTGGCCTCATCATGGGGCACAAAGCACATCTGCAGGCGAGAGCATGCCACCTGAAGGTGCACATGCGTACATGTGTTGGATTGGGCCCATCATGATTAGCGGATGATGCTGGTTCGGAAGCGAGATGTCCGAATATATAGTTGATATTTGATACTATGATGATATATTAATATTATATTCATATTAACATGAACAATGTGACAAATCCAACACGGGCAACTCATCTACCGGACACTTTTATACCGACCGTATGGTGGATGTGGTTTTGCTTGGTAAGAGCCAAGCGAATCCCACCGACGGTACTTCTTTGGTCAGGTCCTCTCCGTCCTGGAAGTCTTTCACTACTCAGCTCAGGCAGGAAACATGACTGGAATGAGGGAATGACCTTTCAAAGGAGATTCCTTCGGATGCACTCCTTGTTCTTTGCTAGAAACCGGTCAGTAACTGCAACCTGTAGCTTCATGTCAATTCCAATCAAATTGGAACAGCAAACGACATCGAAAGACCTGCAGGTATCGTTTGGTATTGCTCTAGACTCTAAAACCAATGTTTTTCCAAAACATGTCAAAGTATCATTGGCCTATTCCTGGAACAAATATCGGTCTTCAGGGTTCCCCATCGCTACACACAGTGATTGCTAAGCTTTACAAAGACAATGGCGGGTCACCTCTAAAACTCTTCATAGGATGTGTTGGCCTTTGCTCATATCAATGTGTTCTCTTTCCCAACAACACTGTACAATGCACGACTTATTTAGCCGAAAACTCACCTCCCACTTTTAACTTTTGTTTTCAGAAGCGCTGGTCGAACCAGAGTCTTAAACATCAAGCTGGCCAAGTTGTCCTAGTTCCGTCAGTGCGACCAGTCACCTGCCTCCTGTGTAACCTCCCAAGCATTGTGGATGAGGCGTCGCTGGAGCTCGTGCTGAGATAAAATGTGCCTCGGTGTTTCACTTCGCGAAGCGTCTGGACACGATGCGTGGCGTACAGGGGCGATCGGAGGATTTTGAGCCACGAATGTAGCATCTGTGATGGGCCGATGGCTAGGGAAAGTCCTTGGCGCTGAAACCTCAGTCAAAGCCCCTCGTTTTGATTCCAACGAAAACCCTGAGCCCTCGAAGCCCTAGATCAGTGGGTGAGAGCAAGGAACGGTGCCACTGTATTGACCGTGTACCAGAAGCACAACTTGCAAGCATCTTGGAGTAGATGCAAAATGTATGTATATATATAATATATTTATGTGTATATAGAACACTTCAAACGTGTTTGGTGATCATCTTCCTGCTGCTTCATAGAATGGATGATCTGATGTCTACTTCAGTACTGACTGAGACCATCTGAATCTGTTGCATCTCATCTCCTGCGACGGACGAACTAGCCGCTACAGTAGCTTTCAGCAGCAACTTCAGTTGCCAGTCTAGTGAATCGACAATACAAGACCTGTGTTTCCGAACAAGAACAGTGGCTCCGAAATGACTTTATAGACCTCCACTATAATGATCTACAATGTATTACGAGAGATTTCTGGATTCATGACCAGCATCAAAAGATCTCGAAATCCTGGCTCCTCATAGAGGATTGGTTTCTATCAGAAAAGAACATATTGTCGAACCCCCTTACAAATCTGGGTTGCTTATTGCACAGTCCGGCCATGGTTTTAATCACAAGGATCATTGAGATCAACTCCTTACGTCTGAGATCCCCCCAGTGGCCCAGTGCGCACCCTCCGCGGTGCACGATCTGCTCGATGATCTCAGACGCAGCCTTTGAGGACGCCACCTGTCTCAGGCGCGCGGCTGGGCTCCGAAAGCAGCATGGACAAAGCAACATGACTAAAACCTTAAACGGTGATGGTGTTTGTTCTTCTAGACGCCGCACAAACCTTTGCAATGTTGAATAGTGTTGGTAGTTTGCCTTCTACATGAAATGCATAAGAGCAATCTACACACACACATATATATATATATTTCTATTAAGCCCTGTCACATGGGAACCGATTTCGTGGTTGCATGGGCTTGCCGCCCGTGGGATGCCCGTTTCTGATTCGGGATTCGAGGCGGTACCTCGGTGGCTGATCGGGCTGGTCCTAACAACTAACACTCCTCCTCCCGAGACAGGAGTAAGCCATCAAAAGCCATCAACCCTGCAGTTGTCCTGGAAGTTCCATTGTATTTATGTGGAGGGAAACTCAGAAACTCCATATAAATCATGCAACTCCACCAACAACCATGCCTTCTACAGCTATATCTACTCGACCTCATCTTCCTTTCAATAGTAATAGGCTTGATCAGGCTTGTTTCACCCATTGGCTCGAACTCAACCTGACCAAGAGCTCACCACATGTGTCTTGAACCCACAAGGGTCCACTCCTCAACCCCTTCTAGGGTCCATCCGCCATCTCCGCAGGTCTTTTGCCACACCCCGAAGGACCGAAGGTCGCCTGCCCCACTTCCTCCACCTCGTCTGTCTTAGAGATCTCCGGACCTTCCGGCAAAAAGGTCCGTTGGGGGGAAACCAACGAAGCAACAGGCCGGTCCTGAGGGTATCTGCGTGGTGGGTTGCGGGCTTCCGGTCTCTTCGGGTAGTTGCGGGTAGCTTCCGGTCTTTGGCTCTCGGCTCTTTTGGTTGGTTTAACTACTTACTTATGATGCTAGTGTCAACACGATTATCCAGTTGATGACAGTTGTGGTTGGCTCTCATTTGCTTCGCAAAAAATACAGAGGTCTGTGAGTGCTCCCATGGTTTCAAACAACAATAGTGATAATGAGGTGATCCCCCATTGTGGGTCGGAAGGCGTCCCCAGGGAAAACATATTAGACATATGATTGATCGTCGTGCGGTCGGAGGCGACCGACTCCCACGCGTCGACGGACCCTCGTGCGCCGCCTTGAGTCATCCTTCATCGCGGGGCCGCAACGAAGGGAGTCCGGGGGCGATTGAAGGCCGCGTCTTGCAGCCGCGCCGTGAAACTGGAGCCACAGAAGAAGGATGAAAATGGATGAAGGGACTCGGAAGCAGGGAAGTACATGGACAATTCTACAACTCTTTGTGCTGCAGGAAATATCTACACTACGGCACCTCATGATAGATCATAATCATTTACACTCAGCGGGTTGGCCCAATGCTTTTGTCTTTCCTGCATCGCAGTAGCTCCAGTCCCCTGGCTGGCCACAATGTGTTGTGTGAACCCAAACAACATTTATATATATATATATATCCGATTCAAACATGGGGTTTAAAATGGTTCAATCATACGTGGGCATAAGTATAAGTGATAATTCCTTCAAAGAAACTAACAAACAGCCAGGGTTGCCTATGACCAAAATAATCATCCTACCCATCTATGACCATAATGTTGCTGAGTGATCCTCCACTTCCAAGAAAACCTCCCTATATAGATGTACATGTTTCAGCTTGCCTATGTGACACCCGCGCCTTCCTTGACGCTTCGAAGGCCATTTTCGTCAGGTTCAGCTTGAAGGCTGGTCATTGGAATGGGGCAGGTCTCTTACCTGCCAAGCTAAGGAAGCTAAGAAAGCTAATGGGTGCAGGCGTCTTTGCCCTCCAACCATTCCAAAGCTGATCAAAGCTCTGAGATCCATGAAGACGAGCGTCACCACCGCCTCAAAGCGCCGTCAGAAGATCACGGCATCCTCTGGCAGCGACGTGGTCTCCAGCCACTGCCGCAGGGCGACGTCGGCGTCCTCTCTCCGCGCCACCAGGGTCGGCGTCGGAAGGGCCCGGAGCTCGGCCTGGGATGATGAGAGGAAGACGAAAACACCGAAAAAGCATGTAGAGTAGAGTCCTGAAGCGAGAGTCGTGGACACTGAAACTATACTCCATCAAACAAACTGTAGGAATTCACATGACATCACGTAAATCAATTTCTATCGATCCATGTTCGCAGGGGTACAAACAGTATTCAGTATTCAGTATTCACCTGAAAAATTCATGCTTGAACATGGCCGGATAAGGATCTTTAGGTGGGTCTTGAAGTCCGCTCTTACGAAAATCACGGGTGTACAGTGACTTGTACCTCTCTAGAACTCTAGAGTAGTTCATTTAAATTTAGGTCTAACCCCTTCCTTCGATCGTTCTACATCAAAGCTGTCTGCTTTCGGCCGATAACGGCCGCGCAGAAGGCAGTGGTCCAGATCGATCCGCTTCCAACGTGCTTAGCAGTGGGGATCCCAGATCGCTCCGCCATCGATACAGCACAGCACAAAAAGGGGAGCTGAAGAAAGTCATAGTTTTTTGTTTTTGGCAATGGAACTCTCTGCATAGTATATATATATATAGTTATATATATTTATACTCAAAATAGAAGAACTCTCTGGACTATACATAAATACACCAACAATGTAACAAATAGAATGTGTTGAAATTTCAACGAACATTGTTTGTATATAACTAAACCTCATTTATGTGATCATCATGTTCATTAAAATTTATTCGTGCATTATGAACTCCACTTCTCGTAAGTGGCGAAGTGATCCCAAGCCGTGGCGGGCGAAATATGATGTGGGTGCATAAATCTAAAGTGCCATGACAAACAGCACAGTGATGTAATTTTCCTGTTGATACCTCCACCAAATTTGCACAACTCACAGATTAACTTGACCATCATCTCCTTTCACTATGGTGTATTAATACATCCATCATGTCCTTTCCTTGTCCAGCCCAGCTGCCACTGTCTCAGGTGGCCGAGCAGGGGGAGGCAGCTCCCGCAGGCTTCCACCGCCGATCCGCATTCGCTGAGCGGTCCAACACGGCGGCGTTCCCGGCGAGACCGGCAAACGATGCGGGTGATCCTGGGTGGGGTGAGTGGACTATCCCAGCACAGGGATGGTTGACTTATTATATATAACTATATATACTATATATATATATTTATATGTATGTCTGGATCCATTTGTGACAGTGGATCCAGACAAGCAGTGATTGGTTGGACCTCAACTTGTTTCGGGCATGAGCTTCAAGTATGAGGGCTCAATCATTGAAACCAAGCGGGTCTATATTTGCAGGCGAGCAAATTAGTACTAATTCTATACTACAGTATTTATGATGCTCCGCTTGTTGTCATTGTCTGGATCGCCCAAGATATCTACTTACTCTGAAATGAGTTACCGTGTGTTGCCCAAACATGGGCAAGGATAGGCGTGACCACACAGCGACGCGACGGTTGGGTCAATGCTCAAGCGCGTCCGCTCCACAACACCCCAAAAAAACACGTCAGCCAGGAAACCTCTGCAAGGGGTGGGTGGATTTCCTGACCAAAGACCAAGCTCTGCCGGAGTTGTTCCGTCTCTTGTGGTTCCTGCAGTTCCAACTTTTGATGCGCCCAGCCGTCGCGGCTCTCCTCGCTCTCGGTTTGACAGGTCCCATCCGCCACAGTTCGGTGAAGTGGAGCCGTCTGTGTGGAACCCGAGCACCGGGCGGGCGGCACGTCGGGGGCAGGTCTCTCGACTGGCAAAGCGGTGTGCACCGGTTGGTCCACCTTCGACGCCTCTCCCAGTACGGTTTCCGCCTCTCCCAGTGGCCCATCCGAAAGATCCATACCACGGACGAAGCGTAAGGACAATGGCCGTTGTGATAGGACCTTGGTGAGATCTGCAGATGACATCAAAGAAGCCTGCTGCAGGGCGTGTGCATCAATACATCATTCTGATGAAACAAGGTTTGAATGGGTTTGAACATTTGAAGTGTGTGAAACGCTGCTGCATCGCCTTAAAACAACAGTTCAATATATTAACTATTTAAAAACAATCATGAATGCAATTACTAACCGTTTTCAACTGTGACGCCTTCTGATTGGCCACGAGTTTCAAAACATCACCTTCTTGCACACCATGTTGAGCCACCACTTTGTGCGGCATGACAGTGCCCACCACGACAGGTCCGGGAGGCCATTGTTTCGGGAGAAAACCCACGGCTCCATCATCAACACCAATGTGGACATCAATCACCACCTGGGGGTGATCGCAGAAAGGAGACACCCTTGAAGGTTCGATTTGAACCACATCCCTACCATTTTTTGTGGGTGCACCTGGCACTTGGGGCACCGGGCTGGTACAACATGGCGCAACCACCAATCAATGAACTGTTTGTTGTTGGCAATTCGATCAAGTCCCATGTCGTTGGATGCACAATTATAAAATGGCAGGATCGACTCACCAACTTGCGCCGCCCAATGCATGGGAGGTATACTGGGTCCTCGCTGCTACCCTAAAAATCCATATGGGCCCTGCATGGCAGGGGTCGGGTCCGCCCTCCTTCGCAGGGGTCCGCACCCTTGAAACTCATTGTGTTTCCCGGATTTTTACAGGTTACGAAAAAACACAACTTTAGAACACGTCACTCAAGCCCAATGCAGCTTTTCTACGACTGCAGCAAGGTTATGAAGAAACACACACACAAGTTTCAGGGCCGTTGCCACCTCACCTCATCGATGACTGTCTCGTTCCGATGGAGCCGTAAGCTCAGCGGCCGCTTGGCCAGTTCGAGGGCCAAGCTGGAGCGATCCAGGGACGAGGCCTGGGATCCGGGTCTTTGTCAGTTCTCCCCAACCAGTGTGGACACTAGGGGTTCTTACGGTAGTGGTTAAGCAATCGAGGTGTTGCACCGGGGCGTCCGGCTAACTCGCTGCTATTTACAGTACGTTCTTGCCTCTCGAGATCCTCGAAGTGCATTTCGACCGCGGCGGGTGCTTGCCACGAGTGCGCTCTCGTTGGTTCCGTGCGCATTTTCGGACATAGTGGTCACTTTTCGTGGCAGGCTCAAAGGAAACCTCGTGCTTTGGTGGTCTAAAGTTAACTTTTCGTGACAAGTGCAAGGGATCGGAGCGGTTTTACTTCGACAGGGCATGGTGGTGATCTTCCAGGCGCTCTGCAGTGATTCGTGACTTTTGGATACTTTTGGACATGTGGCTCGTTTGCAGGTTTCGTGGCAGGCGCAGCACTTAGTGAACCTCGAAGTGCAGATTTCGTGGCAGGCGCAGCATCACTCTCACCCACACTCTCTCACTCTCCCACTCTCTCATTCTCCCACTCTCACTCACACTCACTCACTTTCTCACTCTCACTCACTCTCACTCACACCACGCACTCACTCTCTCTCACTCTCACTCTCACTCTCACTCACTCTCACTCTCTCTCTCTCTCACTCTCTCTCACTCACTCTCACTCTCACTCACACCCACTCTCACTCACAGTCACTCACGCACCACCACCGCCACCATCACCACGATCTCCACCTTCATCTGCACCCCAATGCGTCTAGATCTCTAGACTTTCTGCTACTACACCTCTAGACCTCAAACACACCGTCTGGTGTCTCTTGCCGGGATAATTTGATGTTTTTTTGGAGGGTAAATCATGCAAATCTTACTTTTTGGGGAGGGCCTCTCTATTCCGCTGGCGCCTGGAGTAGACTTGTGGATAGGTTGCTTCACACCACCACCGGATAAGACTGATGAGATGGTAGGTAGAGTTCTTGTCCACTGCATTTGGCTTCCCACATCAGGCATAGGAGTTGGTGTTTGACAAATCCAAGCAAACACATTTCCCTTGCCACTGATATGTGCTTATATGGGAAAGGATCAAAACCTATACCATGCTGCTCGCAAAAACTAAAAGGGTCCATGCTATGGACCTAAGCACCAAGTCATCAAACAACAAAACTACAAACCAGCAAGATACCCAACCTTCAACAGTTTGAGAGGTGTCCCTCACTGACAGGCTTTAAAAATCAACCGGCTTGGAACTCCAGGGGGGTGCTGATCTATGACAGACAAGCCCAGCAAGAAACGGATCCGCAGCAAGAAACACAACAGTCATTGATTTCATCACGATGCACAGTACACTCTCTTGATTCTAGCACAAGTTGCAAAAACGTCCT